AAAATGTTATAAACATTTACGTAAATCTCTTGTCTTTTTCTTTTTCAATTTCGGATTTTCTTTTTTTTTTATACATATACACGTATATACTGTACGTCTTAGACGCATTCGTTGTTCTATTATTATTATTATTATTATTATTATTATTATTATTATTATTATTATTATTATTATTATTATTATTATTATTATTAGTTTTCTCGTTTCTCTCCTCTTCCGTTCGTTCGTTTCAAGTACAATGCAGGCAAAACCGTATGTACCTTTGTACCTTTTAACCAGTTGTATACTACGATATATATGTTCGTTTCGTTTTACAATTTATTGTTTATTGATTATTTCGTAACAGATAAGATCGTCCCACTTGCAGAATCGTTAAAAGAGTCCTCGAGATGAGAAAACATTTCTTTCTTCGCGTGGATCGCAGATCACCGGAAACATCTCGATCTTGGAATTTCGAAATTCCGGAAGTTCCCCCTACACCATGCAAATATATTTGAAATCGGCATAAAACGTTTACAGACTTTCCGCGGGAAATACAAAAAGCACAAACCTTAGTTCCCACCTTATAATTGTTAATGTGAACGATTTATAAAAACAAAAAAAAAACAAGAAAAAACATACTAGGATCCCCTCGTGAAAAAAGTAAAAATAAAAAAATTTCGCGAAAGTCGAGTATTTGTTTCGTGTTTAGGACTTTATTCTGAAACCGGAAGTTTCGAAAATTGGTAACGTAAAACCGATCACCGATTATTCCTCGTTGGAACCAATTACGAGCGTCCCTATCGACAGAGCGAAATCCACGCAGACGTTACTTTGTCAAGTTTAACGGGATTCGTACGTAAAAATAGAAAAAAAAAAGAATAAAGAAAAGAAATGAAAAGTGCTTAGGTTCGTAACGCGCGAGGTAAACAGTGTTAGCGCAGAATGGTTAGGTAGATAGAGGCGTCGAGAGATATTTTTTATATTCTATATGAATTTACAGTTATTTAACGAGATGAAGTTATAGCTACGATTATCATTGTCATTATTATTAAATATTATTGCTATCGTACCGTATATATTAGTGGTAGCGAATAAAAGCCGTTATTCACGCGTAGCGAAATAGTTTTGGTGCCCTACGTCCAAGTGCAAGTACAAGTGCGCGCGGAAGTCTGTTTGATACACTTAATTAAGACTTTTCGGTTTCTGACGGTTCATTGATAACGGATCTTATCGCGAGACGAGGCAAAAACGACAGACAGCATACATACAATAAAAAATATATATATATATACATATATATATATAATATCATCCCCCGAGTCCCTTGACATTATTCCATATTCATATACATGTACACGAATCATCCACATCTTGCGTACAGACACGATATAACACGGATAAACAACTAGACCAAAATAATTGCAAATTAATATATTGATACATTTTGTTGTGGAGAATGCTACTATAAGGACATATACACTTGAGGCACATGCTATATATGCGAGTTGTATAAATCGAATAACATATAGGTATAATAGTATATCGTTTAAATACCCTAGTATCGTAATTTTCGTTGACTCGTTTCTTTTGTCACGGAACGGCAATGACTTCCGGTTAATTACGAAAATTTAATTGTCAAATCGACGCGACTCGATTTCAATTTTGCGACCGTAATTGTGCTGGACGCGAAAATTGGATTTGTTAAATGAAAATATATATATACGATGGAGGAATGTGTAAAGCGCTACTGTAATATTATTGGGGTAGTTTCGTTGAACAACCGGAAGTCGTTGTACGTACGAATGGCGCGAAGTATGAACGTCTTTGAACGTGCCAGAAAACTGTGGCTGATACATACGATTGAATAAAGTAAATGAAAATTGTATGGTGAATGGAGAAATGATGGATAAGTGAAATGAATCAAATTCGAAAATGAATGACGAACTACGAATAAGGGTGGTGCGAAGGGACGCGTAATAAATTAGCGCTAGTCTAATGACGAAAAAAAAAAAATCTAATACATAAAGTCAACGACAAAATTTCTGGGCGTAACTTTAAGCTGTTGCGACGCGTAGAATGTGGTTCACAGTTTTGAACATGTGATACGTCCGGCGGCCAGGTCGCTTCCGGTTGGCGAAAGATCGTCGGAATTCGTTACGGCCGCCGTAAGCCGCCAGGCCGGCGACGCATTTTTAAAGGTTTTTGACGTAAGACCCTCTTTTGTTGAAGGTTGATTGTTGTCAAAATGGTTGTGAGGTTATACTGTTGAAGTACTTTAAACGAGGCGCTACGAATTTTTGGAAATTCGACCAACGGTGAAATTCCGTTTCGTCGCGTGTCCGATATGTCTTCTAATTTCATTTTAAGCACGAGCAAATCAGCTGGACGGTATAGTCACGAGAGCGTAAGAGAAAAATCAAAAAGAAACGAGAAAGGCTGAACTTCGTAAGAACATGCGAATACCTTCTTTCTCGTGCACCGAACGAGGAAGCAGCCATATTTGAATTTCCGAGAGTCCGTGTTGCGGGGAAGCTAACCTCGAAAGACGTGCCGATTGCATTTTTCTTGTTTTGTTTTTTTTCCGAGAATGATTACGTGAGAGCATATGTGTGAAAGACAAAGAGCGAAATGCAGTGAGATATAATATTACATAAGTGTCTAGTGCTAAAGGCCAGTGTAAAGTTTTGCGATTTTGTCCGCTTCCGCCGCCTCGCGGCGCAGTTGCGAATCAACACTAGTTTCTTTCGGCGTTCCATCGCGCATGCGCATTCCAGTACGGACGCGCTGCTGTTCCACATAACGGAAAAGTGCACGGATGTACGGGAGTTCGAATGCGCGCTTACAATTCGTTTTGCGATTATCCCTGTGTATAATCTTTAAGTATAATCGAATGCACATGGAGGAAAATTAGCGGAAATTATGCGAACGAAATGGCCGAAGATTATCGCTGTCGCTTCTGGGACGTGCCGGTACGTTTCTCGAGGTTATACTTAAGCTTCCACCGCGCAAAAAATATACAACTGGCATTAGACCACGTATAAAGTCTGATTCTAGGAAACATACAAAATGAGGAATTGTGTCCTCATTTAAAAATAATTAACAATGGGGTCTTGCTACGGCGGCACGATCACGGTGATGAATCTGTCTGAGTAGATGGCGCGCATGATCGTGCCAAGCAAACACATGGAGAACGATCAGACTAATTACGATGAGACTGATATAAAACCAGTATTCGCGAGCGAAAAAAAAAATTATATAATTAAAATTCACTTAGCCTTAATTAGATATGTATTTGAAAGGGGGAGGGGAGGGGTGGGGAATTGGCGGGACTGTAAACAGTTCCATGACAAAATTCTCTTAATTGGCTGTAAAATGAACGAGGGTGGATTCGAGCCGAAAAAAATTTCGGATACGACATGAAATTGGTACCGCGATAATTTTGACTTCGAAGTTTTTCGCGAGTCACGTGTCGTAATCAATCATGGCGACCATCCTCGGACTTAAAGTTAGTGAGAATAATTAATTAGATAATTTTAGCGTTATCGTAAAATGCCAGTTGTAATTAAATGGAAGCGATATCCGATAGGAAAACAATGGAGAAGAAACTCGTCCCAGTGATAATACGCAGTGAAATCATAAGTAATCAGATTGAATGGAGACGCGGAGTGTTGATTTTTCTTTTTTTTTTTTATCGGCCACTTATAATTTCAGTGAGCACGGGGACGGTCTTGTATTTCAGTCCACGGCTAAAGATATAAAAAAACACGAATATATGGGAAGCCACGAAGACGATGTGTATACGCAAAAGAAATGATAAAAATTCACGACACGTAACGATTTATTAACAATAGTCCTCAACACGTACGCATGATCAACACGTAAAACGATCCAAGCATAAAATGTATGAATATAGCGTTTGCAGTTAGGTGGGACCAAAAACGACTTTATATCTCTATGTGCATATCCAAGCAACGTGTAATTTTATTAATGAATTTATTAATTATCCATTATTAAGTACTAGGTAAAACAATCCATTGATAGCGATCGAGGACGATGACGAATTATTCACGAGTAATTAGCTCATTACGTTTGTTTATTCATACACTATTCTATGATAACTTTATTGTCTTTATTATTATTATTATTATTATTATTATTATTATTATTATTATTATTATTATTATTTGAATGCTATTATTGATTATGATGATAATATTATTATTTAAACGACGTTCTGAGACATGATTATTTAGATAGACCGTAGAAGCGTACGTATCTATAATTATTAATTATTTTTAATTATTATTATTATGAGACATTTTGTTGTATTATTTTCAATAAAATCGATTAAAAATATTCATTTGATCGGATTTCACTTTTTATTTTCGCCACTCGTATCTGACAGTATATCTGTTATATATCTATCGTGGGTACCAAAGTATCTGATTTTCAAATGTATTGCATTCGAATATCGGATGTAAGTCTGGGAAGTGTCTTGTCTCGTGTTAAATCCTCGATCATGGACGATACTGAAAGACGGATAAAATATTATATGGGAAGTATTACGAAGAAAAGAGACGCCACTTGACATTTTCACCCGACGTACCGACATACACACATATGTTTTATACATTGAGCAGAATAGGAAGAGAAACATCTTTATCGACCCAATACGAAGTCAGTGCATCGTGATTTTAGCTTCTGCAATCTACGTCATTCTGCACTCTCCTGCCATCTGTCGAGTTACCCTGTAAATTCAAACCGAGAATTCCTACTTTTTTCCGTTTGACTTACCTTTTTCATTCATCGTACACCATTGTCTATGTCCGTTAATGTCCGTATACGATTTATACTCTCCATTTTTCCCTGTGAAACTCTTTTCGCGAATTATCACAAACCGTGAAATAACTTCGCAAGTTTCGAGACTCAAAACAATGGGAGACAACACAACCGTTTTAGGTTAGAGTAACAAAGTAACGAGCCACGCAATTTCGTGGCGAGCACGCACGTCAGACATTACACGATGTATACGTACGCGCTAATACAGAGGCTACTGGAAGAGACAGTTACACATTACGCGCGTACACTCAAACACGTACTAGGTAAGTTCATACTGCGTATTGCCTTTTTGACTTCGGTGTGAAAATATATAAGTACGTCAGCCGAATGTGGACCCGATGGATTTTCACGAGGAAACGAAATTGACGCACTGAACTTCCTGTTGGCATTAGGATGTGAGGTTAGGAAAACTTCTTTTTCTTTGGGTTTCTTATGGGTTGACGAGGAAAGATTGTTGTAAGCTTTTTTTTTTGAAACGAAACCGAGTACTTAGAAACTGCCTTTCAGTCGGATTCCACGTACTTCGATTGATGTTCAGACATTGTTATATATATATACATAAATGTATTTTTGAGTTTTTAGTGAAATTTTTAAATGGGGTAATTAGGGGATACGATGCAGCACGTGGTACCAGTTTCTTTGCGAAAGTCCACTGGTCCCGGCGACTGTATCTGTTTCATGTTTTTCAATATTTGTAATTTATCGATAAAATTATAAAGATATCGATACATAACAGTCTAAAGTGTGCGCTACTCCACATAACATTATTATATATAAAGTATAAAAACATACATTATATATATATATATACATATATATTATATATGAAAAGTATAATATATATATTATACATACATTGGGATTGGTGAGAATATACGGTTTTTTCGCTTTGGAGTGTTATTTTCTGAAAATATTGAACAAAATATGGAAAAAAAATTAATAAAACCGATTAATAAAAATGACACGTAACGGTTCACGTCTTTTTATATCATTCACAATCCATAGGATATTCCGAAGTTCAAAGCCAAAAGCAGTTAAGGTAAGTGCTGATTGCCTTGACTACAATTTACGCAATTTTCAATATGCACACAAATTTTGTAGAGTTCTCGCGAATGCGGTAGTCATGTCAGGGTCCAAATTATTGAGGACAACCAGTATCCAGTGATGACCATAGACTTGCAATATTTAAAAAAAAAATTATTTTTAATAATGCATAAAGTGGTTTATGCTTGAAAAATAAAAACGAACCTTACAGACTATGAAATATACGATCATAGCGTCACTTCAGAATCAATGTAAAGAGGCAACTTCATACGTGTAAGTTCGAACTGATGACATTGATGGCTGATGAAAATCATGGAATCGATACAAGAAGTCAACGAATCAAGTGATCCCGTTACCCCTTCTGATGAAAGGATGCCAACTTTACCGACTTCTTTTAGAAGTTTGATTCTCTGTCCAATTGAAATTGAAAATGAAAACCCACAGTACCTCATAGAGTTAGTAACTAGCATAGCGGACAACACGTCGAAATATGTTGTTTAAGACTTCTTTCCCCAATAGTAACTGTTGATTCTTGTACCTTCTGGGAATTAAATTAAGGCACATTAATCTAGGTTGCTGGGTGATTTACTTGGAGTTACTGATTATAATACAAATATGGCAGCTTTTTGGTTCTTGGATTTTGTAGCACTTCTACTTTTACGTTACAAAGAAAATCTCGATCTTCTTGATCGTGGTGTCCTTGTCAGTTGGCTTGCTGGTGAAATTTTACTGATTCGAGGTAGGTTTGAAAAATTGGTCGTTCTGGTTAAAAATTAAATTCACGATGCTCGTACAGAAAATGAATTTTCCCACGGAGATTTCTTGGAAGTGATGGCAAGACTCTTTAACGAAATGATGAAAAGAATAAATCGTAACGAATCGATACTGTATTGGGATCAGATAAATTTGGATCTTTTAAAAGATTCGGAAGAACAAGTTACACGTATAAGTGAAGCTATCGTAAGTGATGACGAATCAGTAGAAAATTTAAAAAATGAGAATTCCATTAAATCTCTAGATCTTTTGAGAATAATCATTGACGCTACTTACGACATGTTAGTGTTACGTAATACGACATGATTCAATCATTTTTGCAAATTTGTTCTATAACGTTTATATCCTTGACAGGTATGGTACTGATTTTCAATTTACATTGATTTATACCGGTTTTGTAAAGCCAGTCAAAGTACACACGTACCGTCTACCTTATGTAATTCAAAAACCACGAGCTACGAGAGACGGAAAATTTGAAGAGAATATAGCAACAAAGGTTAACAAGATACTGTCAAAAGATAAATCGTCAAAACCGGTATTGAAGAAAACAAAAACAGGAAGCAAAAATAAAGTCGGTAAATAACCCAGATCAATAATTACACGTATAAATATATCTTATGACTATATTGACATAAACGATTTAGGACTTTTACGTACATATAATGTTAGGATCGATGGAACTGTATATTATGTATGTACGCTTATCGATTGTTTCAAGGTGAAAGAAAGAAAAAAAATAATATCGATGAAACCTCCGTTGCACCGCCGCCGCCACCGTCGCCTACCGAGGAAGAAATTCTAATAAGAAATCGTCAATTTATTTTACCATTAAATGAGGCAATCGAGGCTGAAAGTATTTTCAAAATGTATGAAGAGACCGAATAGAAAATACAAATTTGTTGCCCAACTATCTGTTAGCATATAGGTATGTTCTGGAATCCCATTTGATTATTACATTTTTGACACCTCATATAACATTCAATCCGTGCTGACAAGGGATCCCCACTCGTGACATTTGATATCTCTCACAGACTTTTCATCGAAATCAATTTTCAATTTTACAAATATTTTTGAACTTATTAATTCGTTTCTTGACTGTCCTAACTGTCCATATTTGTTTGATCCAGCGCCCCAAAGTGATCCATTATCTGCGTAAAAAGAAATGTATATTTTAAACGGGTATAAGAATCACAATCGACTCTCTTTAAAATATTTTGAAAAATCCAGCATACCTAATAGACAGATCGTGAATACATTCCCACACTGAACCTTTTTGACAGTCGAATCCAAAATCTCACCCAGTCCGTCCTTAAAATCGACTATTGTAGGGGTTGCAAAGATTTTGGTATCTTCAGTATCAATTCCAAGTTCTCCAATTGTATTCCAACCCCATGTATAAAGATCGCCCTAAAATCATAACCAGAATAAAGAAATTGCGCGATGTAAAAAGAAAATATTCATATAATAAAATTATTGTTGCACCTGATCTGTGACTACAGCGCTGTGCCAACCAGCTGCTGATATTTGTACTACTTTAAGACCAGCCAAAGCCTCTATGATTTTTGGATTGTCACAATCTTCAAGATCACCATGACCCAGTTGACCTCTTCTGTAAGCAAAGGTAGACGATATAAAAAATGACGTAATTGAGATGAACTATATTCCAATCGATAAAAAAATATAAATATTTGACTAACGTGCCCATTCCCATTGAGTAGATTTCGCCATTATCCGTTAATAGAATCGTATGATCAAATCCACAAGCAACATCAACAAATTTAACTCTCTTCGGTACATTGGCCAACATTGGAATATTAAAAATGCGTCCTAAAACATAAATAACTGTTCCTCGTCTAATCTTTCATAAACTTTGTTTATCCATCTTTTTAATATACCTAAATTGGTAAGCGCCACTACCGTAGAACCGCCATGCGATATTTCAATAGTATATTCAGGCTCTGAATCTTCATTCGTTGGAATAAAATTTTGCACTTTCCGCCATAGTCGTTCATAAATATTATATCGCCAAACGTCGTTCCTTGAGGATAATATAACAACGTATTCCTTTCCGGCCACAGCGCGTTTACACCTATTAAGTATAAAATTACTATAATTACCTTCTAGTCGTATACAGGAATAATAATTAACAAATTCATGCTCTAATTATACCAGGACGAGTCTTCTGGTATCTCTAACAATTGCAGTTCCTTTTTCGTGCTAGAGTCATCACCGGAAGCCATTTCCGTAATATACAAATTCGTATCTCGCCACAAGAGAAAATAATTCCAGCCGATTTCAAGTCCTGTAATTCCTTGAAACGTAATTTTTGTAAACTTTTCAGTAATCGTTATTACAGTATCGCCGTGTGAGAACATAGGACTTCCATTAAATCCTGCATAATAAAGTGTCATATTCCTGGAAATGAAATTAAGATTTTAGTAGCACCGATTACGCACATCATTCCCATTAATTTGATTAGATTAAGGAGCAGCGATATACTAAATTCTGTGTATGACAATCAGCTTATTGAATTCATTGTTCGTATTGTGCAAACGCAGTAGCGTTACGTGCTATAAGTTATACTATAGTGTGTTTATGTTCATATCGTAGTACCGGTCGCTTACGCAAGATGGAGCCACTCGTCCTAGCTACGAAACAAACAACACAGAACGCCACGGGATAGGGAACGTTGCGGGTCGCCCGCCGACATAAATTTACGTCTTCGCGAGTGTTTTCAAGCGCTCGAAACCTTCACGAAAATGGTAAAAAATGTACTTGACGCGATGCACCTATGCACTTGTGCACTCAAAGGACACGCACCAGTCTTTCCACTTTTAAGGCACCTTAAAAGAATATTTTTACTGCACCGACATAACCTGTTACTATCTTCGACTCCTTTTCGAGTGGCGGATATTGCGCGAAACTTTGTACTGCATCATCTGTACTGGCTGTTTCAAAAGTTTCTCACCTTTTATTTAACGTAGTATAATACATGTTAAACTTTACAATACTATATGTTTTATTTATTTTGATAGGAAATAAGTAGCAAGGCATATTTTCAATGATTGATCTCACAATTAATGATATCAATTAAGTTTTCTATATGTATAATCCTATAGCTCCAATCGATTTTACAAACTCAGGTTTTTTAAATTCTCTTTCACGACTTTATTGTCGAACAATGACTTTTCATCGTATTCAATAAGTTGTAATTTTCAAAGACAAAAAATTATTAATTTTGTCCACTTGAAATCGTTCTATCTAGTAAAAAATGCCAAGATAATTACAGACGGGATTGAATTCTATTGATTTTTCACGAAGCGTGTCTCCTTGAGCCCAATCTTAATTGAGAATTCTGCTTCTCCCAAGTAGAGAAGGAGAACAAAGCTGATAGATCGTGTCCATATCTAAAACTTATTTTTAAGACCTAAAATTTAATTAATTTCAGTTTTTAAAATACCCAAAAATAATATAACACATGGAATCCAAATATTGATCGTTTCAGAAATCACATATCTACGTATGACTCATCTCAATCTTATGCAATATTGAAAGGATTCGATCCGTCATACACTAGTAGATTTTACGAGACAATTAATAATATAAATAATTCAATATTTAGGGGCTATTATCGATCCTACGCAAACTGCGCTCCAACCCTGACAAGGAATTACGTTTGTTGTTATTGGGACTGGACAATGCTGGCAAAACGACTATATTAAAATCCTTGGCCAGTGAAGACGTCACTCAGGTAAATTAATGTAAAAAAAATATATAATTATCATTACAATCATGTTTGATATTACTATCTCATTTCATATGATAGGTCACGCCAACTCAAGGTTTTAATATAAAAAGCGTACAGAGCGAAGGCTTTAAGCTGAACGTATGGGACATTGGTGGTGCACGCAAGATCAGACCATACTGGAGAAATTATTTTGAAAATACAGACGTTCTGGTAATTCGAAAAATTTCACATAACTCTTTCTTATGTTGGAATGACAAGTAAAGAATATTTTATCGTTACTCCTTGTTTTCATATAGATATACGTAGTGGATAGTGCGGATATCAAAAGGCTAGAAGAAACTGGCCAGGAACTCTCGGAACTTTTATTAGAGGATAAATTGCGTGCGGTACCGTTACTGGTTTACGCGAATAAACAGGATCTTGGTCAAGCCGTTACAGCTGCTGAGATAGCCGAAGGACTTGGATTGCACAATATCAAAGATCGCGATTGGCAGATTCAATCGTGTATTGCTACGGAAGGGAAAGGCGTTAAAGTATGTAATATTTGATTGACAGGGCAACAACACGAACATTATATATGTACGATCAGTCACGAAGTACTCATCTAACAAATTTTTTATTACAGGAGGGTCTCGAGTGGGCGTGCAAGAGTATCAAGAAAAAATAAAATGCAAGCTACGCGACGCGATTACCCTAAAAATCAACGGCAATAAAAGGAGACGAATTCATTGGGGGAAAAATGGTGTACATTCCATACACGCTTTATTCGGCTGCTATATAATATGTACAATATTGTTGGCCATGTTCAAATGAGGTGTCTACGACAAAACAATTTAGCCGAATAGTCTGTCAATACAATGACGTGATGCCATTAGATACCGATCTGGTCATTAGACTTCCGTCCACTTTAAGTAAAAAATTGAAGACAGTTTAAGGATGTATAATAATGTATATCGTGCCTTCTACACGCAGACTTTTTTAGGCAAGAATTTTGTACTAGTCGTACGAGAATCCGTGTGACCTCAAACGAGAAAGGAAGGAAAGACAAAATAAAGTGCGTGAGTGAAAGTGTAATAGAGACCTAAAGAGCTTTGCGAGCACTGGAAAAAAAAATAATGAAAAATAAAATTTCTCGGATTGCACTGGCATTGAATTTAATATCTACACCAACGGTAGTATTAGACATTAAAATTGTCTACGGATACAAAATAAAAATGAGCTTCGTTCTTATTCTCTAAGTACGTGTAATTAGCGCTTTATTTCATACTCTAGACTACGCTTACCACGATTAGCTTAACACTTGTCCAGACATCGTATTACTTTTAACCTTGTCTATCTTGCAAGACGAGTTATTAATATTTTGTGGAATATCTGGAATTCAAGTACATTCACAAAAAACGATCCATTCTCTCTGACACACATTAAATCGGACGGGATGAGTTTGATACAGCATCCGTTGGGATGCATCGTGGATCTACTGAGATCCGTCTTGATATATTATTAATGTAAAAAGCCATTAAGTCTTTTTCACGATTTTCAAAGAGAATCGGATTAAAGTTCACTGTGAATACTTTCAGTTGTCACTCGTATTTCCTCTTCGTGAAAAGCTGTACAGTCGCCTGGATACTTTTCCTGAATAAATGAAAATTATTACTCATGGTAGAATGAAATTAAAAATTGAACAGCTCAAATAACGTTAACTCTAAACTAATTACTCAAGTTAAATTCTACCTAATACTTATAACTGATAAGATCAATTTTACTTACGAAACATCCTTGCTGTTCCGCAATGGCTCCGTACAAAGACCAAAAGCTTATATCTACGTTTCGACTAATCCCCCAAGCAGCTGCGAAACTTGCAAGTTTTGTTATGGCTTTTCGCAGTTCTGCAGATTTGTCAGTCTCTACACTCTTCTCATTGATAACGCATAGTATGTGTTTTGCACATTGGGGATGCTTCGTGGACCATTTGTAGGCACGGTATACCTATATTAGAAAACGAATAATTCATACGTACTTTTTAATAAATTTTAGAAAAATTGTTTAGAAAATATACTATGAAATTACAAACCTTCAGTATTGGTGCTAAAATAGCATTATTTATTAATTCACTAAGTTTGTTACTAAGTTCCATAGCATTCACACGAGACATGATGAATCCCTTCTTCGAAGCCAGATTCATGAGCTCTTGGAGATACGCGATAGCTGGTTTTATATATTTGGAACTGTCAATTTTCATATTGAGATGTCTCTTAGCCACCGCGTTCGCCAATCTGCATATTTTTATTAATATGGTTCATCAAAAATGTATAAAATTTTGTATTTTGATTATATCAATTTTGATATTACTCACCTAGAGAGACTATCAGCCGGCTTAGAAGGGTCAAACATAACAGATTTCGGGAACCCTTGCGACTTCAGGAAACTGTTGACCATAAATTGTCCTGTAGCTAAATAACGTTGCTGAGTAGCAGGATCGGATACATGTGAGATCCATTCAGATATGAAATTAGTCAATGACTTGACCCATCTACGTCTGAGAGCAGGATTCTCAAAGCTATTTAAAATTTTTGCATACTGAATATTGCCCTCTTTATCCGTCATCAAACCCACGATATTGGCTAGACCACTGTTCTTCCACAGAGTCTGCCCAAGCTCAGAGTTGCTAAAAATAATAAATAAAACAGGTAAATCAGCACTGTGATTCCTACGAGACTCAAGCATAATTCGTAAAAATGTGCAAATACCTAAAGTGTTCCCACATGACGTGCAGGTTCTCCAAGAAGGGTGGAAGAAACCAAGAGTGGTTCGAATGATCCTGTTTCTTACTTCCAACATCATTACTCGATCCTGAACTTCCAATATTTTCTAACACCATAGGTAACAGACCCATAAGGCCTTCACTATTGGCATTTTGCCCTAAGAACATATTAGCCATATTGAGCATACTCTCCAAATCAAAACCACCCCCATCATCGCTTCTAGCTTCCCTTTTCGATTTTTGCTCGCCACCTTGGCTATTAGTGGATGCTGAGATCAAATTGCCAATCCCTGACAGAATCTGACTAACTCCATCAGAATTGCCCTTACCACCACTCAACATACCACCGATCTAAAAATTTTTTAAAAATTATATACAATCTATATTACTAAAAATTCTTCAAATTACATATACAAATTTTAATTAAAATAACGTACCTGCTTCCCGGCATCCGACTCCATAAAAGCACTAGCCATATTATGAAGACCAGTCATAGCTTCTTTGTCATTGAAAAGCGCCTCAGCCGCTTCCATAAAAGCATTAGCTGCGTCGCCTTCATCGTTTTTGCAGGCAACAAGCCCAACAAAGAGAAGCAAGATCTCTATCCTTGGAAGTCTCATTTTTCAAATTCTGAAAGTACAATACATACCCGTATTACAAATTATTCTCAACCCCTACAGCTCTACACATCTATAATCATATGAAAAACCGCAGACAATCTCCGTTCCGTAAACGGCTTCATCTGCTATTACATTTTCGCACTATAGATTCCCCACGTATAATCTTCGTAATTCAGCCACGTATATACCTATATCTTAACATCCTTTTATACCTCGACATATTCAGACCACTCTGGTCTCTGAATAACGTGGCGGAAGTGTTTCGGCTCACGGTACAGGATACCGTTGTTTCTCTTTAACGGAGGTATCACCTGCATGTCACTAGCGTGAACCATAATGTAGTGCCGTTTTAACGAATACCACCATTGCCCTATGGACTGTCTCGTACGTTACACGGACGTCAATTTCCAATTTAACGAATTCTTTACGCAAATCTTTTACTTCATATTTCAAATTTGATAATCGTCTAGATGTCAAGGATTCATTGAAGTAAATCCGGTATTGGCACAGCGCGTAATTTTAGTACCGTAAACCGCACGAAATTGACATTCTTTAGCTCACGTAGCGATTCGGTGTAACGGTACAGAGTTAGTCATCGTATAGCGATGCCAAGAAGCACATCCACGAACGATAATCGGTTTACACGAAACGCGGTAATATTATGCGAATTTTTTATTCCAACCATGAAACTCTCTTTCCTCCGACATCTTTACCTTGATATGTACATAGAGAGAAGAAAATTGTAAATTCTTTAATACAGTCGCCAATTAAGAAAAACACCGTTGTGGTAGTCTTGTAGTACCATATATTTTACCTTTTATATCTGTTATCAGCGACTGGCTTCGGAGAAAGCTTGTAAGGATACTGATAACTGCTTGTCGTGTGGATATATATATGCACATCTATCCTCACACGTTGTGCACAGCGAATACGTAAAAATAACTTGTATAAACGATGAATAAAATTGATCGGTGCACTTGAAATAATGTTTAAACGACACTTTGCCGAAAACACATTCATTGCCGAATCACAGGTTGAAAGTAAATTTTTATTCGTAAAATGATTTATCGCGAAAGATGAATGACGTAAGATTTTTCTACAACGTCCCGTTACTTCAGCCAAAACCCACGGGTCACTGTCCCATATCGTACAAAGTCATCTTAACATTTTCAGATTGTAAAATCGCTATAGATACTTGTGTATCCGCGGTGGTCTATGGCATTGACTACGCTAGTCAGAATTCAACTACCGCCTACGTCAAGTGTAAGACTTAAGTTAAAAAAATATCGATCGTTGAAATTTTCATTGCCTGAAAAAATCCTTGTATTTTTTTATCTCTAACTTCTTATAGCCATAATTCGATATGCTAAAAGATACAGATAGTGATTCATTGCTAATAAAGCTCTTATCAATGATATTGAATAACAATGTAACCTTGAACAATTATGTGTTTTAGTTTACGTAAAATTCCCCTTATCGTTAAAACATTTTTCACTATTCTTTTTAATTATGATATAAATCATTTCTTGATAGGTAGAAAATATTACGACATAATCAAGCATTCTGATTGGTACAACTCAGCGGTAACTGATCACTCAAGAGGAATAAGGTGTATAATATAAGAAGGATGTTAATCAGTTTGCCATTATTATTACAGCCATACGATTGCATGAAAAATATTTTAATTTTAGTCTGCTGAATATTTACCAGGGAAACATTGCACTGTCCATACATTGAAAACCTACGGGCCATTCGTACGAACGAATCAAAAACAATATTAATCCTTTAATTAAAATTGAAAACAGACATTCGTTTTGAATTCAATCTAACGGACTTTTTAGCGCTGCGCTGTAAATTTATACAAGAGACACGCAGTTGCCTATGGGTAATCGTCGTGACTCTTCGCCGGCATACTATTATTCGACAATTGACATACCTGCTACGTGATTTTCAAAAAATAAATGTCTACCGTGGTGAAGATACACTTTGACAATTTTCGAAGTTCTCTCGGAGTTCATGCACCTCACGCAATGAACGTTGTGGCCTGACTGAGTCTGACTGGCGTCGAACGTGGCTCGACGTACGGTACTTACCTACCTAAGCAGTTCCGTAGCCAGTCTTAAGCCGGTAGTACAATGTAGCACATTCAGCGACAGCCGGTTAATGCGCACTCCTTTAATCATCGTCCCTACACACATAATAATCAGACGGAAATAACAACATCCTGTCTAAAATCGGCTGTCCATTATATTCTCACAATTAAATGCAACAATTATGGGAGCGTTAAAGCTTAGTAGATCAACAAAAAATAGAGAATACTGCGCGACGTTGAATTGTTAACTGGATAGCTTTATGGAACGATGGGGAATAAATACCTGAGTCCATGTAAAATTCTTTCTCAGTGTTCAAGAGTTCGGCGTCCTTCGGAATTCCTGTGAAACCTTCGAGGTCGAGGGATTTTTATTTCTAAATGCTTTTTATATCAGGTAAAACCGGCTTTGCTCCTACTTCAAACTCCACTTTCGGACTCGCTCTAACAGACAGTCACTGACCCGATGAAAATTAGGGAATGAACGAAGTACGATCTACCTGCCTAATGTCAGGAGACTATGCGTAGGTATGTATATGGTACGACAAGAAACATTTGTAAGGATAGAGCTATGCTGGAATTGAGATAGGTTCCGTTCTAAGGTGTGGTACCGTAACTAACAATTTCAAGCCCCTATACTGTTTTTTTGCGTCACGTTTATATCTATGGTTTACAAGAGTACCTGGTGATATCTTTTTTTGTTTAATAGAATCCACCTAGAGAGGTTATGACATCGATGATAACAATGAACATCAATAACCACTTTGTGGTATCAAGTAAATTGTAGACAGTTGCATAATATTTTTGTAAAAATTATGATATTCCTAATTTATTATCTTTGATAAGATGAATATTCGAAAAATAAAACGAGTGTATTACTACGAATAAATAAAAAATATTTTTTCATACTTTACGAGCACGTTTCATTATTAGCTTTGGAATGTAGATACTACATATAACATCGAAAGGAATTTTGGGATTAATCAAACTATAGTATCTGAATAGGAAGAATACAGTATCTGGTTTGTTCATTCTGATTATAATTGCTTTAGGTATTATGTGTAGATGTAGAGGTTTTACTAGAAAATCAAAAGGCATTAACTATCGTTATCACGTATTCTAATGATACCTGAATTGCATAAATGAAAAAGGTATTTGACTTTTATCCAAATTTTACTCATTGTATTGTGGGAATGTCGTCACGTAACAATTTGAAAATGAATTTTATATTAATGATATACTTGACGCTGTTATTTAAATCGTCACAATTAATTTCTATGATATTCTTATTATTATCAGATTCATATCATAAACTGTTATTAAAATTGCTGAATCAACTGTAGGATGGCTTATATTTCATTATATTGCTCATAAGTGACATTAGGACTCGCGTGACAGGTAAACATCAAAATTGATTCTTGCTATGCGATTGCAATTGCACGTGCACCTGAAATTCCTATGATTCATGAAATAGTAAGAACAGCGGTAGTCATTTTATGGTTATAAAGCATAAACTCATGGATAAGCATTTCCAATTGCATATTCGTGTCATAGGAGTTATAATTATTTATGAATTTGACTCGGACTGCACTGCACTCTGAATTACGGAAGAAATTCATCTTTCACGGAATTTTAACCGATTTGCATAAAAACCCTGAACTTCATTAAATATATTCTAGTAATGAGCTCTTTTACACTTGAATTATTTCAATTTAAATATCAAAATAAAGGCTTCGACTTCGTTACAAAATTCGCTACTAGAGTGGATAAAATGTTCGTGCACGGCATCATTATTTAATACTAAACCTACCGACAATTTTTTATAAACGTGTTTTTTGCTTTAAAAAGTTCAAATGACTTGTCGATGGTAGGTTTAGTGTTAAACCTAACGAATTAATTTCTAAGAATTTTTTCCTACCTCTGTAATTACGCTTCTTAGTATTAAGAAGTCATAGTATCAAACACGATACTATCCCTGAACTTAAGGACGCTGAAATTATTTTCAAAATTATACATCTGCCATCTAGACGTACGCATTTAAGAATCGACTATGGTCATGCTATTAACGGATGTCAGAGAACTAGTTTTGCTCCCATGAGTAAATACCGACTGAAATAATAGCCATAACATAAATAATGTGAGCCCATAATTCTATCGATGCCAGGATATTACGAAAGGTTCAATCGATAAAAAATTATTTGATTAAAACCCATCACCGTCATGAGACTGCCATCTGAGTCATCTCGTACACAATTTTATTATTCTTAACAAATATGCATAATCTTCCACTTAGACGGAATGCATAGGATGGTAAGTAAGATTATATTACCGTTAGAGCAAGAGATGCTTTTTTCTAATGTAAATATCAGACTAGTGATTTAACCGTCAGAGTAACTCTTAAAAACGACTTAATTTGTAATTCATTTGGTAAATTCAGTGTACCTAACACTCGTGGCATGTAAGCGATCAAAATTGAAGATAAATAGGTTAACGAGTTTACATAGATAGGAATATTGCTTTTGACATTTACGCCGCTTCGGACGACAGATAAGTAGACTATTTTTGAATTTTCTATTTATTACGTCATGCAAGGTCGAATACGTTAGTCAAAGCTTGGATAACGAACGATACTTCATTGTTACTATTATTCTCGTATGTATTTGCAATTGGTAAGGTTTTACTATAGAATAAACATATTTGTTATAATTGATTTGCAATTGAAATTCTTCTTTGTCGTCTTAGTTGCCAATTGGTTTGACTTCTATAGTGAAGATAGTGTCGCAGCTGTTTATAATTCTATATGGTATGGTCGGTTGGAGAAATTGGCAAGGGATTTATTATTCGTTATGAAGAGGGTTGGTAAGTCTGCTCAACTGTCAGCTAGTAAAATTATTCCTTGAGGCTTTGCCAGTACGATAAAAAACATCAGAGTCGTATATTCCAGTGTTACTCACATTAATCTAGGAGTGATTAATGAAGTCGTTTGATACACCTACGAGTGTTATTGTTTCATAAGAATTATTAAAATATTTAACAACCACTTCATACGGTTCCATATACCTCTCATGAGTCACGAAGCTTTAAAACTCTTTGCATGTGATTATGTTTTATTTGATTGTCCGAAAACACGTTTTGGCTGGACCTCAAAGGTATGAGGTCAATAAGATTCCTGACTTTGGTGTTCGTACGGTATTCTCTCGAGTTCCGTTTGAACGAAAGATTTTTGGATATCATTGTCTACATAACATTCTGCTAGTCGTCATCTACCGTGTTTTTTTCTCAATATCACTTATAACTTCCAGTACTTACGTGCATGAGCTATTCAATCTCTTCGGTCAATGACTCCACGATGGGTGAATCCTTATTGTAGATTGTATACGTATAGGATATACCACATGACATCAATGTACAGCATCAACGGGACGTTCGCAGTCTCATTTCTGCATCCCTTCCACTAGCATTTATATATTTAAAAGTATTACGACGCTGAATATCCTTTTGTATTCGAAACGCGTATGCATGTCAAATAAACCACAATATTCAAAATCCTCATAACTCAATGGCCAATAGTACAATAATGGCAGCGATGGTCATTGCTTGTTTTGGCTCGCTGTCAAAAAGTGAACCTCAAAAATGTCTTGTTTGAAAAATCATATAAAATAACTGACCCAACCTCAAAGTACAGTTACACTTAATTTCGTGACTCTTTATGTTGTGATTGTAATATTGCTTTCACGCGGCTCGTTACTGAATTCAACTGAAATTTAAAATTACCGCCAACGAGGATGTCGCGCGAATTCTCTGAATTAAGAAAGCATAGTACAATTGACCAATCTTTATTCACCTCGATTGGAAAAAGAAATAGTGCAGTGGGAGCTTTGCTTAAAAACAAACATCCGGAACTTTTCCACGTTGCACCACGTCCTGGCGGATTTATTAAACGTGTCCAAAAACCACCACCTAATTCAACAAAAATTGAATTTAACGAGAGTGAACTACTTTCGTCAACGAAGGTATGGAATTCTTTTGAAATTGTATTTAATTCGAATTGTAGATCTACCGATATCGTATCTTTGCACAGGCATCGATTCACGGAGGAGAAACTCAAGGTGGTGGGGAGTTTTCTGATAATCGACAGATGTTAAATGACGATGGGCAATCTCAACATGATAAAAAATTGACGAAAGAGGAAGAAAGAAATAATATGGTGAAAATTTATTTATTCTTGTACAGAGGATTCTTTTTTATTCTCTTTACCATTTGTGAATACAGATTTGTATATTAGGTGCAAATGTGCAGTGTTGCTATCAGTACCGTGATGATGATGGCACAGCATACGTATAAGGATATCACTGCTGAACATGTTAGCCACACTGAAGAATATTTTCGAAATTTAAAACAGGACGGTTGTTATCCGCCAAATATCGGTCAGTTACTCAAGATTCTGGGAAATCTTAAGAAAATAGGAAAAATTGCGGCACCTGTATATACACGTGATAATCCCGAGGATGAGAATGATGATATACAAATAAGTGACCTTATTAATTGATTCAAATTTCTCAAAATTTCTGTATGGCTCTTGACCCTGTAATCTGTAAGAAATTTCACTTTTAAGTAAAGAAATAAAATGAAAAGAAGATCAGTATTTAAAAGAAATTCTTTTAATTTGCTGTATACCAAAAAATAACTGTGGTACTTCATTATTATTCGAAAAACATGCATGTAACGAATGTTTGTTTTTCTAACGTCACGTTCTGAGAAACTTCATGTTACTTCTTTTTTGGCCGAACATGAAAGCGTCCTGATTACTATAACCCCTTTAAATTCCTGTAATAAATTTTTGTGTACAGAATGAAATGATTGTAGAAAATTAAGAAAAAAAAATTAAGTAATACACATAGTTTAGCAAAATGAATTCCACGAGTTCAAGAACGTCAGGACTTTCTGTTCATTCTCCCAACAAGGCAGGATCGGAGCAGGTTATCAAGCAGCAAAATGATGTGTAAAAGACTATACAAAATTTTAAAGGATGTGCTTTGAGTATTTATGAATTTATGAATAATAAATACGTACTTTGACAAAATCCAGTGTCGAAAAAGAAACTGAAGAAAATGCCAAGACTGAAATCAAAATTGTTGATGACACCTTGGATATTCAGCCACTTTTATACTCATTCAAAATTCCTCAATATCCATCACGCGGTGCAGTAATGTCAGCCATGCTTCCACCATATTGGCTTTACCAGGATCACGTTTTCGGTGTTATTTGGATGCTCTTTCATAAGGAGAAGAAATATATTGGTAGGCAACATTTACAGCTATGATTTCATCACATACGACAATTACGTCGATATTTTAATGTAGGAATACCACAACTCCACTGGTGTCTAAGGTTTCTGTTGGATTTAAAAAATGCAGAAGGTACATACGCAGGAGATGTAAATATTTGCATACAAGCAATTCAAGACAATCTTATTGAACAATACGCAAATCTTGGAACGAAGCAGGAACCAGAACGGGAGGTTAATCCAAAGATTCAAACACAGTCTGACATACCACAAGAAGACACTGATATGGTATCAAAAAAAGATTATAATGAGGTACCTGAAGACGATGGGCATAATATAGTCGAGGCCAATATTTTAGAACATGATATTGAGGAAAAGAAGACAAGTCAGGACAAAACTAATGCGGTACATATTCCAGCAGTAATAAATGTGTTAATATATTTTCTTTAATAATAATTCGCCCTATTGAAATTTGTTATTAGGTAGTGGATTCAGTCGTCAGCACTGCACTAGTCGCGGAAAAGTCTTACGGTCATACACTGTGTGCAACACAGACAAAAATATGATTTCTTATGAAGCTTCCACGATTGGTACAGTGTCGATGACTATGCCCACTATTTTATGAACACATTATGCATTTTTTTCAATTACTGTATCAATCTAACATTACGCGTGGACGCCATTTCTTGTAACAGTTTTCCACTAGTACGAAGAAGAAAACAGGTAAATCCTGTTCAAAAACGTGTGCTATGGATGACCGAAACGCTTTAAAATACACAAATACTCAGAAAATATTGAGTTTAACTTATAACGAAATGGTATCAAGAGGTCCAAGTCCCTGCACAGAGCCTTTTCCTTTGGAGCAGCTATTCAAAATGGATGCGATAGATAAACCTTCAAATCCTGAGATCGCTGCTAAACTCACTGAAGATTTAGAACCGCCGAGTAACTTTGAATCACTATATCTCTAAATTATCGACATGTAATCTGAATCGCTTTTGGATGAAATTATCAAAGTGTAGCTTGACGATTAAACAATCTTCTCTGAATTCTCCAAGTATAGAAATATTACTATTTAGGTATTCCTTTTGCGGAAATGGATTCAGATGACTTGGCCAATTTTTTAAACTCCTCAAGGCAACAACATGTGGAGAGAATAAAAAAAGAAATCGAAAGGCTCTACAATCTAGAAAAGTACACTTATTATCTTTACGAGTCTCTTACCCATGTTTTTATTGGAACTATTTTATTATTCATATTAAATAATCTACAGGTTTATGGAAAATATAAGCAAGAGATCATTTTCAGCGTATGTAACAGACGATTTGGCAAGACGTTTGGATAAATTAGATGGCCATGATGTTGTTAATGGTGTGGAAAGTATGATAAAATAATGGTCCAGTTAAAAAGTACAATCAACAATTCTAAATGCATAAACGTCAGGAATAATTGTACAAATATTATAGAAAAATCTTGATCGTAATTCATAACTCGTTATGAATAAATATTATTAATCCTGTAAGCACAGTCAATTGCACATTCAAGATATTTTACTTCGCATATAAAAAAATGTCTAAAGATTCAGTATTCATGAAGATAGCGATGGTCACGTAGTCGGTATTATGAATTTCTTCTCATATCACACTGAATCGGTAAAACGTTTTATAGACTTCACATTTTGTTGCTTAAAACATGTAGGGGTGCTTTTATGTTGTGTCAAGTATTTCTTGTGAAACAACACGAAAAATGCCTGCCAGGGCAGAAAGGCCTAGTTTGATGTCATTTCAAGATGCTCAGCACAGTTGGACGGATGATTTACCAGTCTGCAAACAATCTGGTGAGTTTCTATTGTTTACTTGATTGACAGTGCAAGGAAACTAACCTGACACATCCAATTTACATATTTTAAAAGTAATGTTCGTTTTTTTCCTGTTAATGCAGTTTTGCACGATTTGTTAATTCATACATACTATCTTTTCATTTTGTTTGATAAAAAATCAAAAAAATTTTGGGAAATCAATGATATAAGATTTTTAAACTTTAGATCATAGTTTATATATATCATATCAAACACTATTGGAATGTATCATATACATAAGAAAAATTGAACCATGTTTTCTTTATAAATTTTATATTGAATTATATACTAGCACGGTTCTTTATCCATGCATCGGTGTAGGTGTTGGGTTTTCAACAAACCAAATATATCGAGAAGATGGATACCGTCAAGAGGAACATCCATTTGAGGATCGAAGTTTCCACTGCCGCTATGATGATTCTACATTTCTGTATGGAGTATTCGATGGGCACGAAGGTACCAAAGCAGCAAACTTTGCCTTACAACGCATGGCTGCAGAAATTCTACTGGGACAACTCAATGGTAAAACAACTGATGAAGAAGTAAAGGAAGTTCTTAGGTAATATTGTTATTAAACTTAATACACAATGCATAGGACTATAAAAATCATAATTGAGTAAAAAATTTACATTATGTTTATTGCAGACAGGCATTTATCACAGTAGAGAGGGGTTATTTGGACTCAATAGGTGATCTCTTGGCTGAGCGTACAAGTTTACAATTTGATATTCCTGATGGCTTAAATTCCTATGAAGCATACCAAAAATTTCCACATCTGGTACAAATAGCACAACAAAATATGATATGCGCCGTTCGCAGAAAAGAATGACATTGTCAATCCTATGATTTACAGGTCAATAAACTTAATTCCTTGAATTGTGAAATATCTGCTGGTACAAGTGCAGTAGTGGCTCTGATCTACGGAGGCAGATTATACGTTGCAAATGTTGGTGACAGTAGGGCTTTGCTTTGCAAAACTGATAGCAATCAGGTACTCAGAGTTGTTCAATTGAGTGCTGATCATGACTTACGAAATGAGGATGAACTCTTACGTCTCTCCCAATTGGGTTTAGATATTGAATCTATTCGACAGGGTAAATATAAACAATTAAAACTATACATACACAGATCAAACAACTACATATTTAAGGTATGATTTACTTTTTTTAAGGTTCCCACCTGGGAAATCAGGAGAACACACGGTGTTTAGGAAATTATCTAGTCAAAGGAGGATATAGAGAGTTTGAAGAACTAGCATCAGCAACAGCAGAACCTATAATAGCAGAACCAGAAATCAGTGGTGGTATAGAACTTGACGATTCATGTAGATTTCTATTACTAATGTCACGGGGTCTTTACAAGTCATTAGAAGAAGCTACTAAATCCGATCAAGTGAATAAAGACTTAGCCCAAATGGCTGTACAGCAGGTAATTATGCGTCGAAAAATAAAACTAATATTGCAATAAATATTCAAAAGATAAATACACATAATACATAATTTTCAGTTCAGAGTACAGTCAACCTTAACAGGAGTAGCACAAGCCGTAGTCGACAAGGTTGTACGAATTCATCATGACAGCAACATGAGTAATTCTCAAAATACTTTAACCACAGGAAAACGGGATGATATAACGTTGCTTGTTCGCAACTTCAATTTTCCTCTTCCGCATGCATTAAAGAGTCCCACTATTCCCTCCGTCAGATTCAATCCAGTAGTCCAGACTGCACCGATTACAACCCTACCTGACGAGGATTATTCCAGCACTGGAACAGGAGCAAGTGAAGATAATGTTGATACATCAACCACAGAAACCTCTACAACCTCAGATATATATCCTCCTGACGCCAAGCCTCTTGACAGAAACGCAAAGATTAAACCGTACGTTGACTTCACGGAATATTTCCAAAATGTCGAGAGGAGACGGTTAGAAGGTACTTTACCAGAAGGTATAGATTTTTGAAAATGCGAACCTTATTGGAAAAACATTTAGGATTCTATAAGTTTAATAGATTGTATATTGGTATTGTATGTATGCGTGTGCCTTTTGTTACATTTCATAACAGAATTTACTGCCTGAAATTATCAGAATTTAGAAACTTTAAGTTCATTACAGAGTCTAAATAATGTTATGGAGAGGTTTTTTTGAATCAGGCTTCATCGACAGTTGTCGTTTGTGCTGCGATATTTAATTCCACTTTTTTTTTCCTATACTATCAATCGTGCACTTTCGAATATTAATGAGATAAAAGTTTGATGCTGTGATGTTATCGATAATAAACGTTATCACAATTGAATTACTACATAATATTTATACTGAGCATTTATCAGATATTCGGGCGTAGAAACGTCCCAAGAATTATACCGTGCGCCGATATACAGGTGTGTATATATATATATGTTATAAAAATTTAGTGTATATTTGTTCTTGTACAAAAACACTTTACAAAACAAATGCTTGTCCAAATGTTTGCTGCCAATAAAGGACATTATAAACTTGTCATTACATTTGGTTTTACATTGATTTTCGATTTTTTCATTATTATTTTAAACTATCTTACTGTATAAATACGGCGATCCTTTGTTTGTTCTAATTGTTCTTGTAAAAAGATTATTTTGTAAAAAAAAAACAGAAAAGAGGAACTACTGTTGTATTATCAATTAGAATAATTGAGCGTAAGATGAAACATATTTCCAGAATCAGCGTTATTTACCTCCAATGAAACTTATTTTTTCTGTATCATTACATCGAAGAGACGAGGTTTTTGTCAAAGTTTTAGAATTTCGCCCAAATCAATTAATTGCCTTTTTTTAAATGAGCATCTATCTGCTAGTATCATAAAGAACAACCGCGGTTCAATCCCGGTTATGTAATCACTGTTACGTCCCTTATGATTACAAATAGTTATAATTCACTTCTAGAAAATCAATATTTTTTGTGCAATCATAAATATTTGGTTGGCATTGTCTTTAGTCGTTCGTATGCAGCTTTCTCGAGACATTCTCTATGATCCGGATGTGAAATTTGAATAAGTGCATTTGCTCTCTGTCGAAGAGTTTTACCAAAAAGCTGAGCTACCCCATGTTCCGTAACAGCATAATGTATATGACCTCTAGTTGTTACCACACCACCACCTATTAAAAAGATTTTCAATTAAGTATCCAATTAAATTTAATCCTAATGTTTCTTAAGACATACCTAGCTTTAGGACCGGTTGAATTTTACTCTCTCCCTTACTGGTTACTGAAGGGAATGCTATAATTGCTTTCCCCCGACCATCATGGCATATTGCTGCACCTCGAATGAAATCTAGCTGTCCACCAAAACCGGAATACATCTTAACTCCAAGACTGTCAGAACACACTTGGCCAGTAATATCCATTTCAATGCAGGAATTTACGGCTGTCATTCGAGGTTGCATCGCAATTACTCGTGGATCATTAACGTAATTGATTCCCAGCATTTCTATGCACATTTAACGAAAAGAATCACGTCAATTACATAAAACAGTATGAGCAAAATTTTATTGCTACATAATTATTTCTTATTTTGCAAAACTCACCAACAAATGGATTATTATGCACATAGTCATAGAGTTTCTTAGTGCCAAGCACCATAGTACTGACTGCCCTACCTCGATGCTTTATCTTTTTCTTATTAGTGATACATCCTTTCTCAACAAGGTCTAACATTCCATCACTGAATATTTCAGTATGTACCCCAAGGTTTTTATGATTGCCCAATGCACACAATATCGCATCTGGTATATTACCAATACCCATCTGTAGGGTTGCTCCATCCTCAATAAGTCGAGTGGCAATAATCTTGCCAATTTCTTGTTCGATATCTGTAGGTGGAGTTCCAGCAATACAAGGCAATGGACAATCATATCTTACAGCCCAATCAAAATGGCTACAGTGAATGACAGCATCCCCAAATGTCCTTGGCATATGTTCATTTACTTGAGCTAAATTATTAAAATAAATATTGAACATAGCGATATAAAAAAGGGTGTTTAACTGACACAATTATAGACTGACCGATGATAACTTTTGCCGTGCAAACAGCAGCACGAGTACAATCCACGCTAGTACCTAGTGAACAATATCCCCGAAAATCAGGAGCACTGACGTGGATCAGTGCTATATCAGGATTAATTCTCTTCTCAAAAAACAGCTTCGGTACTTCATGTAGAAATATCGGTATGTAATCTGCTCGTCCTTCGTTCACCGCCTCGCGCAAATTCGAACCAATGAATAAACTGACAGATCTAAAATGTTCTAAAAGAAGAGTTTCTTAGTCTCTAATATTCATAGAGGATGAGAGTAGAATTCAATCAAACTTCAGTACTCTCGAATTCCGGATTAGCAAATGGGGCACTTCCCTCCAAACCCATATGTAATAGTCGTACACCACGTAAATTATTACAGACTCCATGCTCTGTCATACCTCGTATTAATTCCATCGGTGTAGCTGAACTACCCTGGATAAATACAAGGTGCTCTGAAAGAATAGTTTTTCCTTATTTACAATTGACTGTGAAAATGAAATTATTTTTACCGGAATTGATGATTTTTACAGCATCTTCTACGCATACCCATCTTGGACAACGTTTTAAAGGTTGACAGGGTTCACGTAAGTATCTAACACCGCATAGATTAAATGGTTTCAATGCTCGAATTCTATCGACTCCTGCCTCAAATCTACGGAACATTTTTCCCGTTTTTTTTTTCGTTATTTAACGTTTTATGATCTTTTGGCGCAACGAGACGACACGTTGCGTTAACTGCGAATTTTAATCGCCGAGCGATATGTGTCGTTGAAGATCACATTAGAATTTGAATGATATATTATCTAAACGGTACATTTGGAATACATATGTCAATTAATCAATATAAAATCCGTTGCCATCTCCACGATTGGCAATTGGGCTCGCGTCGCATTCTTGCGACTGTCCGTTTTTCCTTGATGAAGAATAAGTTTGACTGTGGTGCCTGGTACATGTGTGAATTTTATAATCAACACTATTTTTACAAATTCTATTCTATAGGAATTTGTATAAGACGAGATGAAGGTATTTACCTGGTGAAATAATAATAACTTGTTAATCTTAATACTATATTTCATTAAAAATAAAATACGTCTCGGCCCAACGCACGACCTTCTTATACAAAAGGAACGTAGATAAATACATTATAAAAGATACTATTTCCAAGCAATATTAATCCCTCACATACTTTCTCTTAGTTAATCCATTCACTGGCTGTTCTGAAGTTCGTTACTTATATTTTTCGAGTTTTAACACCAATTTCACGTAGATATTATTCTAATGGCACTGATCTAGTAATAGACTCTTCTTCACAATGTCATCTCATATTCCTTTGTAGAGTGGAACGATTGTTTTCCAAAAGAAAGAAGAGATAATAGTGGCTCCTTAAATATACATATGGCATTTTGTTAGAGGAGCGACTATTATAAAATGCTATGGATTTTAGGCCTTTCACATATGTACGAAGCTTAAGGTTCGGGCATCGTTTTCAAACGTTCGAAAGCAGCTTTCTCCAATTCTTCTCGATGATCAGGATGCGCTATCTGTATCAGAGCGTATGCACGTTGAGCCAAAGATTTGCCGAAGAGACTTGCAATTCCTTGTTCCGTTACAATGTAGCGAACAAGTGCTCTTGATGTTACAACACCAGCACCTGAATGAAGCAATAGCATTATTAATTATCAAGGAACGCAAACAATATAGAAAGGAACATAATGAAAATTCCTTAAATTCGTTTTATTATACTCACCAGACTTAAGCACAGGTGATATTTTACTAACTCCTTTCGTGGTCGTAGAAGGAAGTGCAATAATTGGCTTGCCAAGATTATCTTCACCCATTGCAGCTCCAGTAATAAAATCAACCTGTCCACCAAATCCAGAGTACATCCTTGTTCCAATACTGTCCGAAGAAACTTGACCAGTGATATCAACCTCAATACAAGAATTAATAGCAGTCATCTTTGGTTGTTTAGCAATGATTCTTGGATCATTCACGTAGTCCACCACTAACATCTCTAAAGAACAAACATGGTTACCCGTGAATATTTATACAGTAGCAAAGCTTCCTGCGTTTTTCCATATAAATATATGTTGTTTGAACAAAGAAGATGTATATTACATATTGATCGTACCAATAAATGGATTGTTATGCATAAAGTCGTAGAGCTTCTGAGAGCCCACGCAAAATGATCCTACGATACGTCCACGGTGCATTTTCTTCTTGTTGTTGGTAATGCATCCCTTGTTTACCAGATCCACTACTCCGTCACTGAACATTTCACTATGGATACCCAAATCCTTGTGACCATCTAGCGAAGCTAGAACAGCATCTGGGATACTACCAATTCCCAACTGCAGAGTGGCTCCATTATCGACTAAATTATTAGCGATATTTTCGCCAATTCTTCTTTCCACATCACTAGACGGCTTGACTGCATGAGCAGGCAGAGGTGAGTGATGCCTTACCGCAATATCAAAATGACTGCTGTGAACTACAGCATCGCCAAAGGTTCTTGGCATGTGCTTATTTACTTGCGCTGCAGGAATAAAAATCTTTTATTTTATCATGCCAGAAACAAACCTTTATAGATACTTTCTACAAGAAGAATTTTTTCAACTCACCCACAATGATTTTTGAGTTAATGATGGCTGATCGTACACAATCTACACTAGTACCTAGTGAACAGTAACCCTTCTCATCTGGCTCAGACACCTGAATAAGTGCAATGTCAGGTACGACTATTCTGTTATTGAACAAACGTGGAATTTCGTGGAGAAATATTGGAATTGCATCTGCTCGTCCGTCATTCACTGCAGCTCGTACATTGCCTCCAATAAATGTGCTGATCGATTTGAAGTGCTCTGGATATGACGGAAGCGTCTTACTTTAAAAAAGTGAATTATACGTAGCATCTGTGTTTTTAGTTACAGTACATTGCACACTGAGTCTACTGTTAGCAATTAAGTTTCCCTTGAATAAACTTTGTAACTGTCGTTGCTGTAAGATAATTATGCAACACATCTTACATAAAATACTATAGTATCATTAACATACTTGCATTTTCCTTCTTAGCAAAAGGAGCCTCTCCTTCTAAGTGCATATGAAATAGTCGCACATTTCTCACATCTGTCTTCACTCCATAATCTGTCAATGCCCGAAGTAGCTCAACAGGAGTTGCAGCTGCTCCTTGAACGAATATCACATTATCTGAAAAGAATGACAATATTTACCAGCCAATTCATTATTATTCAATCCAGTATTCAATATATATCTCTTAATTTCATATAAAGACTCTGGTCTTTACTAAAAATAATGGAATTATTTATATAAGATAAATACTCTGTATTTATCAAATGCATCAAATGCTGATATATGAGTCAAAATAGTAATAGTTAATGGCCTTGCTTATTCTAAGATAAACAACTGTATCAGTCGGGTATTCATTCCATCTTTAATTTATAACGAGAAAAATCTCTCACGTAGCTGCATACCGCATCAATGCGTACAAAACAGCACATAAATTGCGTCACAAGATTGATACATACATACATATGTATATTATCTCTTTACTAGCCAGTTGTATTTGTCATGATACACGACAAGTGAACTTTGATACTAAACAGAATTGGATAAGAAGATATCATTTGTAAACGAATTATGAAAAATTTTAAATCTGCCTAATTTTGAGTCTATAAATATATATATATTATGAAGTTTACAGCACGAGAACAAAGTCCACACTACGAAAATATAATAAATATTATTGTGAAGATTATTCAAAGAATGAAATTGATATTCAGAGTTCGATAACACATAATTCTATACACATACATAGTTGTATTCGTTTACAACTCGCCTCAACCATCACACCCATTATGTAATTTAAATTCCTCCGAGACAATATGCTTTAGCGAATATGCAACGCAATAATATAAAACTTAATCAACATTTTAGTAAACACAAATTAACAGTTACACAAGGCATTGTTAAAAATTTGTATTCAAAGATCTAATATTTATCAAACACCATTTACGTATTATATGTATACCCGACTAGAAAATTGTAACATTATCGATTTGCAACTAATATTTTCTGGTAGTTAAGATCATATTAAATTTTAATGACTTTGAAAAAATTGTTTGTTCATAAATAATTTCTTACTAAAGATCTAGTCGGCCAATACCTTTCGAAAATGCCTAAAATAAATATCAACATATTTTATTAGGTTCAGTCTGAGCGTACTTTTTTCATTAGCTAAATTTATCTGTCGCAATCGAACCAATATTGTAAGAACATGTTGGACTCTTGCATGATGAATATTTTTCAAAATTATTTATTGTCATAGGCTTCATTCAATTGCTTCAGACATCGTGGGTCTTCACCACTTTACCCTCCCAAAGTGTTGGGTATTATTTCAGAATAAGAGAAGACTATAGGTTGAACGTAATCAGAAAATTGATACGTTTTGGCGTAAAAATAATAAAAGACAATATAGTGTAAATGTGTACATAGTCTTTAGAATTTGATAAGAAATTATTAATGGTGCATTATTCTATCTATAAATGATGCACTCGTTACAATAACAATATGTATAAAGTATATGTAATAGCTAATAAAAATGTATTTACTCCTTGGTAAAACTGTATCAGTATTAAAATCTGCTCGGATCTTTTACACAATATGTGTAACAAATATAAGCTCCCTCAGTTTATACTGTTCCACTTTCACAATTTGGCACACGTTTGATAAAAAAAACTAATAATGATTATTGTACAAATTTGATCTACAGATTGTGTAATGCAGCGTAATATAACGTTCAATATACCAAATATCAAGATTAACGTATTCGGATATTGTTTTTAATAACAAGTGTAGCGTCAATGTTTGATAACTTTTCAAATTATCGAAATTGTTCTTTGGCCATTAAAATATATGTTTTGTTTTCCCAAACATTTTGAATTCCTTCAATAGAAACAAGCTCGTCGTTCGTAGGCAATCATAAGTCTCATATATTCCATCTTTTTTTCTTTTGATACAAGTCGCGTCTTTTGTTAAAAACTAATCGCAAAAGCATCTAGGTCAACATTCTATTCTAGATACGTGTAGTAGATGCACTAATAAAATGAAAGCTTTACTACATAACTTTTATATTGCAAGTCATGGAACAATAGCACCTATAAATCCATTTTACTTGTAAAGAGATTACACAATTGAGCTCTTTTTCTTAGATGAAAATTTCTTTGTTTATAATAGATACTCCAGCAAGATTCCACGACTTCTGCCAACAAACTATATTTAAATTCCAACTACGTGACTAAATATATTCATATATATATAGATTGCGCATATAATTGTTATTATATACCGAAATGCACAACAAAGATATATATAAATTGTGTTATTGACACCATTATTGTAGCCATCAATGCGAAGCGTTCTGGTACCTCGCAAAGGACGTCTATTTCGCTACCAGTTTGTAAAAATGGAATCGTTTTTTTTTATTTTCAACTATAATATCAAATCAGTAAACAATATTTTCTACTTCATGTTAAATTTTGATAAGATCTCATCAGTTTTGCAAAATTAATTATATCGTTAACATAGTTTGTAAAACACTTGAACGATGACAGCATGGATTGTTTATGTACGTAATTTAGTTATCAACCTGCGCCAATATTTACTTGATTTTTATCAACGCGGTGACATGCTAATGAGAGACATATAAAAATATATTGTATGCTGGACATGAAAGTTATTATAATATTTAATATACAACGCATATTCTGTGAAGCAATGAAAACGGCGCAGCAAGCTGCTTGTCCTTTCTATACTTCCGACTGGCTTCTAGTAGTTAATCGTTGTTAATTTATATACGTTATATACGCTATTGCTGCTGTTGTTATATAACGAACCTCTATTGATGATAAATTTTTTATAAAAGAAAATGATTTTGATATTTCTGTAGACTTGTGATGAATGTCATTATCCGTTATAAATGATTCGAAGCAAATTTAACTTCTATTTTTAGTGGAGGAAAATAACGTAATTTATAGACGATTTCAAAAAATTTGTTGTAAAAGTTGTTAATATTAGAACATCGACAATTATAGATTTTTTATTCCGCTATACTTAGATTAGGTCGCTATGTTTCGGCCATATTGCAGATATATTTTACATTGATCATGATATTATATTTATAATGTTAGACCCATATTATCTGCTATTTAAATCCTGAGTAGATCGTATTTTGTAATTTCGTAATTGACTAAAATTAACGTTAGGATATTCCTTATCAGAAATCTGCCATTTCATGGTGTCAATTTACTGGATATGACTGATAAATTCAATAATGAAGTTCTACCATCCTCTAGAAGAACAGCAAAAGGTTGAACTTTAATCCTATAGATGTTTCTCATCTTTCACTTTTGACATTAAAAAAAAATATAAATATAAACTAAAAAAACGATTGATAAATTAAACTTCTTCCGGGTATCCAGTGAATAGTATGACGTAGCTATAAATCGATGGTGGCACATGGAACAAAGTCCTGTATAACAGTTACTTACCTGACTTTAATTTAGCTTGTTCAATGGCTTCGTCGGCTGTTTGAACCCAATGAGGTTCTCTATTCGGAATTGGCATTGCTGGCTCGTTCACATAAGTGAAGTAAGTTTTGGGCATCTGAAGGCGATAAGACCAGGACGTCGAGAGTGCCTTGGTAAGGCTCGTCATTCGTTTAAGAGCTGCCATTTTCGTTTTTGTTGCAATTTCACACACTGGTTATATTTTTTGTTTAATTGAAGTTGAATATTGGAGGGCGGGAAATAAAATGTATATGGGTCAACACTCCCGAGAGGACGTCACCAATTGTCTCTCCGACTAACTGTCCGACCGAGGGACGAAGGCGTTCTGCGTGTTGAGTAAAGAACCAAATCCAGGCACGCTTGCGTCCCCTCAACATTCGTTACTCAGGGCCGCGTCGTCTACATCGGGATCCCGGCTACACATTTTTCTCATATGCCCCCAAACTATTAATTTATAATTTTGATAGAGCGTATTATGCAAATGTATTCCCACTTTTTATTTGCGCATGCTTGATTATTGCCTTGTATATTCAGGTTAGGGACGCAAAATCATTCTTTGGCGCATAAGTATACGTGGATTTTATTTTCAATTCATTACAGTACATAGTTTCACTAAGAGATGGCTGTCGTGTTTGTATGTTGTTTTGGTTATAAGTTGCAGATGCATGTTTCATATACGCAATACTCATTTAGTTTCCTTTCTTTTCAATATTAATACTCAGGCTTATAATTGTATATGGCTTGGTATCTGGCTCTTATCCAGCAGTCCAGGGTTTTTTCTTAAAATGAGAGAGTTTTAAAGACTATAATCCGTATATCACCTTCAATTTTTATATAATAGCCTTATAAAAATATAATAATGTAAGATTTAATTAATATCCCATTAAACTTTTATTTCTATGCAGTAGTATATACTATTTAAGCATACCGATAATAATTTCGTATTAAAAAACCCTTAAACGACACTTAATGAGCCGCCATTTTTTAATTTTAAAACCACGTGAGTCGATGCTTGTCAACTGACCACCCATAATATTCATTTTCTTCTCAGATACGAATATTTGTTATAAAACTTAATTATAATAATATTTCTAATAACATAAAAGATCTAATAAATCTTATAAATACTATATGTATATCTGACATATGTGTAACGATCACGAAGTTGAGGCCACGTGATCTCACGTGCCTCTAGCCATCTTTCTCTTGTATTTCCTCTGTCCTTCTTCTATCTTCGATTTTATCTCTGTCTGATACAAAGTGTAAGATAACAGTATATTTAAGTCAAAAGCGTTTTACATAAATTTACCTTTCTATTTAAGATTATTAATCTCATAAAAAACCCTAGAGCTGTATTAAATATTAAATATACAATTTTGCAGTGAACTTTAACAGCATCTCCGTGGTGTTAGATACTCTAGTTCCATCTTTGTCTCCCCCACTTTTCAAAAGCAGACTCTATCCTTATTTGTTGGCGCAGTGGCAATCATTAAGAACCAGTCGCTGCTTTCTGCTGTTCGGCGGACTTCGCAGAGCACAGGCACACAACACGATCCGACAAGATGTACTCTAAAACCATTGGGGCCCGTCAGGCCGTCCAGGAACACGTTCTCGCTGTTTCTCGAGATTTCATCTCTCAACCTCGTCTCAGTAAGTTTTCTTGTGTAATTTGTATGAAAATCTATTGGAAGATATAAAAGAATTTAGACATCCCAAAGACCCACCGAAGTGGGCGTAGCACTTGATCAATGCGCAACTGGGTCAGCTGATTCTACAAATTTTACTTTTATCCTTGATTGCTTTAACTGTCAAGTATCGAAAACCCCTTTAATTGTTTCCTTTTATTATTTTCGTTTGTATTTTGGTGTCAGATTTTATAAAAACTCAATAAAAATTAAGATATTGGAAGCGGTTTCAGAATGTCATGTGACTGCAGACGACGAACCTCCATCAGACATTCGGATGATCAGGAGGGGTCGTTCCTTTTTCGTATAACAAGATATATTGGAGTGTTCATACATTCATATCGATTATTTTCATCTTAATTACAGAAATCGCAAAAAGACATTATGTAATCTTGCATCGTTAACTGATATGTCAACAATACATGCTCTCGTGTACTGTTTTGATTTCATATAGTATATCATTTTTTGAAATAAGAACAGCAGTTATTGCCAATTACTAGTTTATAATAAATGCTGTAATTATTTCATAATGAGAAGTTCTAAATAACGTGGATTTGAAAAACTGGGCGTAACCCGTATTTCTGTGATCTATAAATACAACCAAGCTGTGCTTATACATTTTGAATAACAATGTTTTTTTTATAAAATATACGGCTATTGATTTAGAGAATTAATTGTATGTGAAACTTATACCTATTAAATATTTAAAAGCTTATCGTTAAGACTTGTTCATTAATAGGAATACCCTCTTTTTTCAGCGTACAAAACTGTGTCTGGTGTAAATGGACCTCTAGTAATTTTGGATGAGGTGAAGTTCCCTAAGTTTGCTGAAATTGTACAGTTAAAGCTTGCCGATGGCTCACTTCGATCAGGTCAAGTCTTGGAAGTTTCTGGCTCCAAGGCTGTTGTACAGGTCTTTGAAGGGACCTCGGGCATTGATGCTAAAAACACTCTCTGTGAGTTTACTGGTGACATCTTACGTACTCCCGTATCAGAGGATATGTTGGGTCGTGTGTTCAACGGATCAGGAAAACCCATTGACAAGGGTCCTCCAATTCTTGCGGAGGATTTCTTGGACATTCAGGGGCAGCCTATAAACCCATGGTCACGTATCTACCCTGAGGAAATGATCCAAACTGGTATCTCAGCTATTGATGTTATGAACTCCATTGCTCGTGGTCAGAAGATTCCCATCTTCTCTGCTGCTGGTCTCCCACATAACGAGGTTATTATTATATTCTTTAAAATGTCAAAAAAGTTTTTACAAAGATTGTTATTCAAAGTTATGTCATTATGTCATTACAAAAAATCAAATTGTATCTGTGACAATAATTTAAATACCGTCTACGTGTATTTCCAGATTGCCGCGCAAATTTGTCGTCAAGCTGGTCTTGTAAAGCTACCAGGAAAGTCCGTGCTAGACTCCCATGAGGACAATTTCGCTATCGTATTCGCCGCTATGGGTGTCAACATGGAAACCGCTCGTTTCTTCAAGCAAGACTTCGAGGAGAATGGTTCCATGGAGAACGTGTGCCTCTTCTTGAACTTGGCTAACGATCCCACCATCGAACGTATCATTACTCCACGTCTGGCTCTTACCGCTGCTGAGTTCTTGGCATATCAGTGCGAGAAGCATGTCTTAGTCATCCTTACTGACATGTCCTCTTACGCTGAGGCTCTTCGTGAAGTGTCAGCCGCTCGAGAGGAAGTACCCGGACGACGTGGTTTTCCCGGTTACATGTACACCGATTTGGCCACAATCTACGAACGTGCCGGTCGTGTAGAGGGTCGTAACGGATCCATTACACAGATTCCAATCCTTACTATGCCTAACGACGATATTACTCATCCAATTCCCGATTTGACTGGATACATTACTGAGGGACAAATCTATATTGATCGTCAACTTCACAACAGACAAATTTATCCTCCTATAAACGTGTTGCCTTCTTTATCCCGTCTGATGAAATCTGCTATTGGTGAAGGCATGACCCGTAAGGATCACTCTGACGTGTCTAATCAACTGGTGAGTTTAATATTATTTCTATACTTACAGTTTCTTAATCACTTTGGAAAAATTAAATCAGTATTTTACATTAATATTGTGAAATCTTTAATTCTCATAAAATTAAAAATTTGATCTTCAGAAAGTTAATGCTACTAATACAACTTTTCACGTTTCAGTATGCTTGTTATGCCATCGGTAAGGACGTACAGGCTATGAAGGCTGTCGTAGGAGAAGAGGCTTTGACTCCTGATGATCTTCTGTACCTGGAATTCCTGTCTAAATTCGAGAAGAACTTCATCTCGCAGGGTGGTTACGAGAATCGTACAGTTTTTGAGTCTCTGGACATTGGTTGGCAGCTTCTGCGTATCTTCCCCAAGGAGATGCTTAAGCGTATTCCAGCCAGTACCCTGGCTGAATTCTACCCTAGGGATTCACGTCATTAATCGCTCTTCAAATCGTAACTCAGATCGCGTCGTACCGAAGGCGGCTTGACGAGCAAAAGTACTCATTTGCAATTCGACTCGTTATATGAGAATACAACAATATATGACGCGTTGGTACACATTCTCCTACTTTGTCCCGCGCTCATCACATCTTAGCATAAATAACCGGGAGAATTTAAATCCCAGGAACTACGTGGACTCTAAGCGAGGATTTCCTGAAGTCCTTAGTAGATTTTTGCTCTAATAATGATAATAAAGCGAAGCAATTAACATATAAAATAAAAAGAGAACATTTGCAATGTTCCTAGTAAATAAAATCATTGTGTCCAAAGTGGGTAATGCCTACCGGAAACGCGTCACGTTGTATTTACAGAAAGAAAGGGTTTTATCAAAATTTCAATCATTTTAAATGTCCATCTAGTTTCCGTAAAAAGTCGCGAACGAACGGATACTGAGTTTGAGATCTTTGTAGGAATCATAGCGGCAACACCAAGGCCACAAGTGTTATTTATCGTCGGATAAAAATGCTGCGAACTACATCACGATTTCGTCAAATATCCCCGCGCTCAGGATTTCGCAAATATTCGTGCATTGTTGTAACTATAAATTGTAATATATCGTTCAGTATTATTGTAAAGGAAAAAGAAGTGCATCCGCCTCTACTTCAATTCGTGCATCCTACATTCCAACGCGAAATTTTTATTTATGAGATACACTGCGCCTTCCCTTGTGATCGAAAGAAAAGAATGATAAATATGATATATGCCCATCGTTACCGTGTACAGCAAATTTTCCTTGAAGTGTATTTGAAGATATGGAAACACATTTTCTATTAAATTTACAGTGTGTGCGTTACCGAAGGTAGAAAATAAATGAACACCGTTGAATCTGCAGTGTTCAATGTAGTTAATCTGAAAGTTCTTGCACGCTCGTGATCCTCGATAATATTGCGATTGCGAGGCACTTAGATAAATCGTTAAAAAAAATGGTGAAAATCATCAGAAAGTTCAGATTTCGTCGGTGTTATTATCTAAATGTATTATACCTGTATAAAAAAAAAAAACTACAAAATTTGTTGGTGTACTTTTTCTTTCCTTTGTGTGTAATTGCTTCTTTATTTTTAGACAGGCATTATGCATAAATGCAATATATATTCCATGTATATAGGTATACTTATTAATCGTTAATGCTTTATATTGATATTACTATTCCTTTTAGACTGCTTTGAATTTTTCGAAAATACTATACTACATATGATATTCCAAAAATATTCAATTTAGAAAATCGACTTTTAAATACCGTGAACAGTTATTACGTCAATCTGTCTTTTGTGCAAATAATTTTTCATATTGAGACCAGTTTCGCACATGTACATATTTGAATTTGTTCACGTTCGGTTGTCATTCCCGCCATCTGCCACAGTACTATTTCAACGAGAAGAAAGAGTAGGCGAGCGAGGTCAGAAATGTATGTGAATGTACCACCTGTACGACGTGCCTCGTACATTTATATGAATGTTAAATAGTGAAGAACAGTGAGCAGTGTTCTATCCCAAGTGATTCATCGCCTATCGAAATCAACGGTAAATCTGTAAAATTCATATAGTCCAAATTCTCGCAGAACCCGGTCTTAGGTTATGTTACATTCAACGCAACCAGAACGAGTATATAAGATTTATTCAGAAAAACGTGTACTAAAAACGAGTTTCCTAATCAGTACGCCAGAGGGTATTACCTCTCTTATTTTGGTTATTTTTTTTATATTAAATTGATAAAAAGAATGCTCCTGGTTGTTAAATATCTGTAGCAGATAATGAAAGAAAGGTCAAGTGTAAAGTGACTTTACTTTCTGTTTTAATGTTTGGAAAGTTTCGTAACAATTTTTTATGAACTTTGTCCGTAACTTTTCTATAATAGATAATTACTGTGACCAATTATTAACTGCTACACGCGACAGTAGAGTTTGTAATCGATGATACATTTCCAGTGTTTCTCGTATACGCAATATTCCTATTTAATAAAAAAGGAAAAAAATGACGCAAGATCAAGCCTGATATCATATCATCCATTTTGCGCAAAGGTCACGATCTTCACTAGAGAATTAAAACGAGTCAACCTAACTGTCTACTATGTTCGGCCTTGTAAATACATTGCGACGTTATTGAATAGCATCTCCGCTACAAGGATTTAATTATTCTTTTTATAATTATTAATTTATCCAATTTCTGGTTGTAGCATAAGTTCAACATACAATCTGCATCTACGCTTAATTATTCATTATGCTCTTTAAAAAAACTTCGAGGAACTTATCGTAATTTTCTTTATTTTATGCTTTGCTCATTCCTCTTTTTAGCAATTTGAAAACCATGTCTTTTCTTCCACAAACGGAGAACGTTGCCAAAAATCGGTATTGTTGTTAGCAAAATTCGATATAGTGATAACCCTCATTCATTAAGTAGAAAACATGATCAGATATTATAATTTTAATATAAATGACATACATACTTCTTCGTTCACGGAGAATCGTTGAAACAACAAGAAGTATAAGATCATTGCGTAACAGGTTGACAGTGAAATTATTAATACTGTATATTTGAACCCGTTAAAAAATATTTTACAGAAAATAATAATTCATACCAACATAAGGGATCGATACAATTTTTTACATAAAAATCTTGTAATTCTTAAAAAGTACCGTTAGCACATGAGGGACAAAGATCGTAACGTCCTTCCTTCCTTTCCTTATGGCTGCCTCCTCAATGAGGAGATGTGCCAGTAGATCGTAACGTCAAGAAGTGGAAAAGAAGTGATCTCTGAGAACCGTTTGTCGGACATGCTACATTCGCGTGGGAGAGATATTCTTCTTAAATTTGTCACGCTAACTCGTGTGGTCAGTTGCGACTCATTGCTGGTGCTTAACTTCTGGTGTCGTATTATCTCCATTAACAACATGGATGATTCGAAGACCCGCCTAATTTTATCGGCAACTATAAACTGACTCTCGAATGACCCGATTCTCCGTTTAATGAAAAACTTTTTGATTTCGTAAGACATATTAATGAGATTAGACAGAATTTTGTCTGCATATTTTTTTTAGTGTCCCGTGTACTGCGGTGTTATCATGTTTGTTATGATTATGTATATTTCTGTTAAACCAATAGGTGCAACGACACGACTGCTGTTGCATATATATAACTCGTGAATTAATCCCATTGAAAGCCATTAACGTTTTTTGTCAGAGCTTATTGTACATCAATTTACGCACGCCCATTAAGATTCCCTGGTCGTCCAACCGTAATTTGTTCATAGGACGATATATTAATGTCTTCGTGAATTATGTACTGTTATTGTTATATAAATCGATTATCCATTGGTAATAAATCAGATAATGGTCTAGTTTATCATGAATTGACCTATTAGAAAAAAAAAATAAAAATGTCACGCAAAATTTTTCTCTTAATCGCCATTAGTACCGGAAGCTCTTGATATTGTACTTGAACTCTTGTAAATGTGTTCAAATATTGATTCTTTATCTGGAATACAAATTTAAAAATTGACTATTATTCAATAATCACCGGAATAAACATATGACGTTTCTTGATGTGAGAATCTTTACATCGCAGATTGCATTATGCGCATCGAGTTCAGCGCCGTTATGGTGGGTCTGACATGAGAACAAACGCAGGACACGATTTAGCCAAGTAAATTGATCCATTATTGGATCTCGTTGAAAATTCTAATAGCTGGTACGATCACGCTCATAATCGCTGCATGCTTGCGTGTCTTTCCGTTGATAAAGCATTTCGTGAATTATGAATTTGTCATTGTTCCATCCAAGAAACAGTATATTTTCGCTCACAGCGCTTCGTAATCAAATAATACATTGGATGTTGCTGTCTTAGTACATTTATATCTCGTTGAATGCACGGTCGTTTATTTTTTTAGAATTTTTTGATTACTATTTGAAATCTTAATTCCATATTTTTTTTAGCTTCTCGCCCCGTCGTTATAATTCTCACTACTGATAAGATTCGATGCTAGCTGTTTGACCTCTAATTGTCCAGGGGTTCTTCTGCAATGGAAAGTGTTCAGAGCGACAGCGTATACCGACATTATCGACTGAGCTTTTACTCGCCACTATCCACTATAGAAGCCACGAGTGCCGACAGCACAGTTACGGCTCGGTCCTCAAATCGGCTGGCCACGATTTCGCGTCCGTGGATCTTTTGCCATAATAGGTACTTTGTTAGCAGTTCTCGCAAGATAACAACTGAGAATCTTTGAGTTTTTAAAAATTTTCCTTCTCTTTCCTCCTACGGCACTGGCCTGATCCATTCCTTGGGAGGGAAGTTATTTAAACTGGAGTTAATTCGACTGGATTGAACAAAGATTGTTTGGCTGCTGCTACGAAAGGAGCAAAATATTTTTGAAAAATCAGTACCGTGTTTTAGAATTATTTTTCATGTGGAATTTGAAAATTTGTGTAACATACCGTACATTGTCATATTGACGTACTTCAATTCCAGCATCGACAACAATACGAAATTCAAGTCAACACTTAAAATTAACGTTAGGTAGTTATATATATACAAAACTTTCCGAACGTTTGCTTCGAACAATTTGTTACTTCGCGACGGTTCCGTTTTCCTTAATAATAAAATTTCAAACAATTATTTGACGAAACTTAATTAAGCTAGCGGTTGTTGCACCGTTATTTCCATGAAAATCCCAATGATCGTACAATATACATAGACATAATTTTTTATCAAATAATCGGTTAATTAACGTGAGCCATGGAAACTGTATAACATATTTAAAAAATCGTTATTCATTGATACTTTCAGTTTGTCAAAGACGCACAAGGGAGCTCCTTCAAACCATTGTCATAGCGTGCTTTCCATCGTTACTCAACGTTGTCCATAGAAAGTTTGTTGTGACGATGGATCAATGAACTGACATAAAAAGAACATATCCACGGTGTAACTCAAAAGACGCTTGCTGATTTAACTTAAGGGCCAGAATGAACGAATATGGAGTGATAAACAGTGTATGCTTCGTAGCCATCAATGTTTTTGAATTAAATATTTCATGAACACTGATCGTCAGACACAATAATTATCTTCGTTAAGAAGTAGTCATCAGTCGCTCCCAACCCAGTCGCTTGTCAAAACGACGGTAACGCATTCGGCTGGAAATTCATTTGTTATGAAAATTTTCTATGTCATTTAAAAATGGACGGACTCGTGGAAATCTTCCTCTTTTGCGGTGTTTTGTACTACTTCTTCAACTTGAGGTAACGTGGGATATCATCTTATTCTTTGTACATTAATATACAACGAAATATTTCAGTTAAAAAATATAAAAAATTGCCACGGTTACTACTATCGTGAATTGTGTTACCAATAAAATAATAATTGAAAGAACTTTGTGTGAAAAGAGCAATTAAGATTGGATATCTCAAACGTGGGCATTATGTGTGGAATGAAGAAATTTTCTAGACCTAACTTTAATTCTATATTTGAATAGCACGTTACCCTGATAAGGAAGAGGTCAGTTGATCTTTACTCCTGGATGCATCTAATGAAACGTAGTCACAATAGGAATTCTCTAAATATATTATAGGAAAACTGTAATTAAACAAGAGATTGGGAGAAGCATTAGAAAGTCTAAGGCCCTTACTCATACCTCTCTTTTAGCGTTAAGAGACGCCTATTAGTCGTTAGAGGACAGCAGATAGCAGTCGATAAAAGACGTCTCTTAACGCTAAAAGAGAGGTATGAGTAAGGGCCTAAGAGTTATTAAATAAATAAAAAATGAGATCTCCCCATTATTTCTGTATAATCGTCCGATCAAAAGTTAAAAATGAAAAACAAAAAGTTTCCACGTGCAATATACGTGATAATTGCATTACAAAGTAGAACTGCGCAATTTGATCAATACGTAATTTTTGTTGCTTCCCTTTTTCTTTTTACTACCGCCTGGTAGAATTAATCTCCAACGTTGTCAGTGTAAATCTCTGTTAAATGTTGTTTGATTTTTCGGCAATAATTAGGCTAATCGAACTTTGAGCTTAAAAATACAACCAAGATTAACGAACATTATGACCTTTTTACAGGGTCGAAGCGAATTATTATCGATTTCTATTAAAAAAAAAAGTTGAAATCATTATTGCGCAATAAATCGGTGAATTATTGAAGATTAATATTCCCTTAAACTCTAACACTCAATATTAATCCGTATTTCTTATGAATATACCGATTTACGGGATACGGATCATATAAGTAATAGTAAAATGATATGATACGTATTGACTAACAGATTGATTGACCACGTTGACAGTATTATAGCAGAAACCTAATGAAACTCAATCTTATATAATTTCTTAATCAGAATAGATATTTACAAAAGTTTATCCTACATATTTTTATTTAACTCTGATTACCATTTTCTAAGCTACGAATTGCATGGTGTTGCATAAAATTCAAATGCCTTCGATGCACTTGCTACATACCATTGAAATGCATTGAGCGCAGGTCATGTCCTTGAAAAAATTCGATGACTCGTATTATATGCCAAGAACAAAAAAGAAAGTCAATGCATCATTTTACAACGGAAACATATTAAAAATTAAAGCCAAGACAAGGTACACGTTACTTTATATTTCTCATGGAATATTCATCTTAATCGACCCTTAATTCGTGAAGAATGCCACTTGCGACGCCACTGTAAGAATCAGGCGATCCTAACAAACGGTAACTTGGTAGTTCTCCTCTAGGGAGGTTCCTTGGGGTACAGTATATATATATATATATACACACTCATATATCTATATTCTATTCGCGGAGACCATAACCGTACATAAGAGTTAAGAGATTTACGTTGAATGACAAAACAGTGAACATCCAGTTTGCCAAACACGTTTGATGTTAATAGGTTATCTACCTAATGTTATGGTGAAGGGTTTGTAAATTTTTCATTAACTTCATAGAAATTTGTACAGCAGATTTTGAAGCCAGTGTGAAAGGCGAATCTGTCAAGTTGAAATAGACAATGTTCGAAGAAACTGAAAAAATTGTGATAACTCAGGATTGTCACTGTCAGAAGTGATATAGATATGTCACTGTCAGAAGTAGTCAAGCTTGGCAGATGGTGTAAATAAATGTTTGGTTAAAATATCGAAGAAATTCAATGATTCTTATGTAACAAGGAACGTGTCATTGACCATGATGACTTTTAGAGACGATTATTATGAATAGATTCAGTCGGTGTAGTGCTTTAGAGGAATTAGCGTGATATTAGTTGGTGCGATATAGGAACAGTATTAAATACGTATCAAACCGAATCTATATTATATTTCAAATCTTATCCTAAGATCGATGATATCGATTGTTAGGCATCGACTTATTTTGTATCGAGCATTTACGGAAATGAAACGTGTAATATCTTTTTTTTCTAGAGCGAATAATATGGTAGAAGTCTTTTCTACTCGGTTGCAAGAGGTCTACGCAAAATGGGAAACGCGGACGGACGTGACGCGAAATTCGGAGCCGGCCGCATCGCGATTCTCATTGGACGGTAAGAGAAACTTGACGTTAACAGATTTTTTATTGCCAGTGAATTGTCTGAATTGGTGTCAAGTTACGAATTGTCAAATTCATGAAATTTCACAAGCTATTCATAATACATATATTTTCATCTAATCGAGTCGTAGAGTAATCAAGTGACTTTTCGTCAAATGAATCATAAAGGAATATTTGTATGTGTTAATATAGTCAAATCAAGTCACACACAGAGAGTTCTAGGAAGTTGAGAAAATTCACTAAAGTGCAATACACGTATCTGTTGCGCAACGAGAAAGTACACTACGTATGCAAAGGAATCAACGGAGTATAAAGAGAAAAAGAAATCAAGATAGTCAGCGGACAGTGGGAAATAAAGAAATTCTTTGATAACAATTGTAATCTGGTATTTGTAGGATTGCGACGTGTCGGGCAACAAGTGACGCAACAAAGAAGACGCGTCAGTAGCAGAGAACAGATTCGCAAAGTCCGGGAAAGTTCCTTGTACAGGATCAAGGAGGCCGAACCACTTACACCAGCTGTTTTTAGAGCACACTCCTTTCTCCACTTATGCTGTAACAGTTGCACCCCGTCCTCCAAGGTGAGTTATCACTGCTGGGAAGGTCAGCGAAGAGGCAAGCGGATTTCTAAGGCTTCGAGAAATGTCGCAGCCATCATGATCGTACGGAACGATTATCGCGCCCACGTTTCGGTCCCATTTTTTCTTCTCTTTCTCTTTAATGCCGTACGTGCGTGGTAATTAAAGTTACGGGTTATGGATTGCGTACAAGGATCGACGTCCTCTAACATTATGTAATGTTTAGGTAGTACCTAGCTGTTTATTATTTCCACGGCGATTTGCCAGGACGTGTAAACCGTTCGCGGTACTTAGAAGCACAACATGATGTGTCCGTAAAAGAAAATTATATAGTTTAGTAAACTTGCAAGGTTGTCCTCTCAACGCGTACAATTTATGTACTAGTGACATATATTGTGGATTGAGTACAAGATTACATACTTTCACTCTTTTTTGGTAAAAGATAACATTCTTTTTTTTTAAATCGATTAGTATGCTCTGATTGAACTTATAGAGAGTTAATTAAATACTTGCCATTAGGATTTAATTAATATAATGATCTGCAGTGTGCAGTGTATCTTGCCAATAGATTTTAGAAACGAATTCAACAATATGAGGAGTGCTTGTGAAAAAGTTTAAGATTTAGTACACCTTTCGGTATTGGGTATTGCATGTATTATTTTTACTTTAATTTTTAAAAAAGAATTTATGCCTGACAGAACATTAGTTTGCTTGGGTCCATACTTCATAATATTCAATCAAGAAAATAATGTGGTTTTTTTTTCATACGAGGACATAACTTCCTTGTTTATAGTAGAATACATGTCAATCAGGTTTTTACTTCCACCTTTGTTCGTTATAGAACTACATGTATTTGCCAGTTCTTCCTTGAGACTGATTTAGATGACTATAAAATAGTGTGTACAGAGGCGATTCGTGTCTTCTGTAAGATTCGCATAACGGACGTGATATTCTACCAAGAGAATCACGTGATTTAGTAATCTTACATGGCTACAATTTCTGTCCCCATGCTGGCTACGCATGCCATTCTCTGGGTCCAAGCTCCTCCACTCTTACTCTTTTCTGGTAACAGTCGACATCTGTGCCTTCAAGCCGTTACCTATGTAGCCAACTGGTGGGGCAGTCAAGTCTCAGCCTTCTACCGATGACAGAAAGTGTACCTTCATCTCTAAGATAAGATGGAGAACACTGATGAAATTTATCTAAAAATATTGTCTCGTCTAACACTCGTTACAATTCAATCGCAGCCGCACGTGCAGAGAGTGTGTTTAGGTTTTAGACCGAAAAAGATTGCTTACCAAAGGCCAGGTCGCGACTATCTTTTTTATGCGGTTTGCTGTTCTTAGGTTACGTAAGACACCCGACGTCTGCGTTCAGTGGGATGCGAATGAAATTCACTTGGCTGAACGGACTACGCGATTCGGTGCGGTACTGAAAGAAAAAGAAAGAGTTTTTGGTCGATTTTCACGATTTTCTATATACGTTCTTTGAATATTTACGTTGCGGATTGGCGGGTCTTCATACTTAGAATTGGAATAGAGATTTGGGGATATTATTTATTTATCTTTATGCGTGCTTGGTTATGCAACTATCTGCGTTCAAAATGCTCCACTCGTCAACAAAGTTTTGAGCATCTCCTAGTAGTAGAAACACGTTTGTATTTTAGCTATTAATTTATTTGTTGAATTTATATATTTTGATAGAATTGTTATTCATTTGAATAGAGAATCCTGCTGTTATACAAAATTCTAGATAAATTGATCTAATGGTTTTTGACAGACTGATTTAGATTGATTGTGTCAGGTAATATTTGATAGATTTTTCAACTCTATTATTTCGTAGCATTACTCGTTTCTGATTTTCATGCTGTCCACGTACATGGAAATGGTCTATTGCTTCTGTTAAAATTATTCGGATAGCGGGGAAGTTTCGCAAATTAAACCTAGATGGCGAGTCACTTTAGTCGAACGTGTTATAAATAAACTACTGCACGTGCTTTTTTGCGCCTTGATATGCACACTGAAAGTAGTATTAGTATTTTTATTAGTAAAATTGAGTTTACATGACTGATTAAAATGCAAGACGAGCCACGGAGCTTGTTTACGCGATGGTTGCGAATTGTTGTTATTCGCGGACACGTGGAGCACGTAAGTATGTTATTTATATTTAGATATACATATAGATCTAGACCGTTCCATATTAATTTCTTATGACGAAACTTATGGACTCCTAATCAAGATTATAGGAATAGTCCCTAAAAATTCATATTCCGTTTCCGAACCTTGAAAGTTCTTCATTATAAGTCTATACTTAATATACTGGAAATTTGATCCATTGCAGAATTCTCTGGTGAGCACGACAAGCAAGCAGTATCAGATAGGTGGAAAAGACATATTGATAGTCGATCCTGGACCAAGTCTTATCTCGAAAATCTTTCGACACATATCACATGTCTACAGCTTCAAAAAATACGACTATCCCAAAGTCACTCAAACTGTGAGTATTTGAATAATTAAGTCGTCGTTTTTCTATCGCGAGTTCATCTTACTATCTTTACTTTCTGTTCTTATGTGTCGATTAGATATTGAACGACGAGAGGCTAAAGGATGCTATCAAGTTGACAGCTCGTGACACTGTGACTAGTGAAGGATGTTCTGAAGATAGTGCAATGGCTAAGGCCGAAGCACGGGCCAAGACAATATTATTGCAGATGCAAAGTAATATTAGTGACTTTTTACTCAGGATAACAATATGGGTTCTTTACAAACTCCTCCCGTGTATTTTGCAATCCACTGTCGTACAGCCGTCGCAAATAGAAATGCTCAAGAAGGCAAGCGATACCGGTTTGCCATTGGTTATGTTACCGCTGCACAAAAGTCATTTAGACTATATAATGATTAGCTTTCTTATGCTCAGCAACAATATCAAAAGTCCGCTTATTGCTGCTGGTGACAATCTAAAGATTCCATTTTTCGGGTAAGATTATCATGAGTTATGCACGGGTTTTTGTCGAGTCGGTCGTGCTCAAAATAATACTTTTGTTCGCAGGAAACTTTTGAGCAGCTTAGGTGCCTTTTTTATAAAAAGACGCATCGATCCTGTCTTGGGGCGTAAAGATCTCTTGTACCGTGCGGTTTTACATACGTATGTAATGGAGAGCTTACGTGCTGGACACAATATTGAATTTTTCATGGAAGGTGGCCGATCGAGAACTGGCAAACCTTGTATGCCAAAGGGTGGTATTTTGAGTGTTATTGTTGATGCCTATATGGATGGTACGATAGAAGACGCTTTGTTGGTACCTGTTGCAATGAATTATGAGCGCCTAGTCGATGGAAACTTTGTCAGGGAGCAATTGGGCCAGCCGAAGAAAATGGAAACATTTAGATCAACGATTAGCGCTATTTGGTCTACTTTAATGGGGAGTTATGGTATTGTTAAAATTGAAATTTGTCAGCCGTTTTCTTTGAGGGTGAGATATATTTATTCATCTCTTTCGCATGAGATATTGAATGAATGGTTAAATTTAATGAACAAAACAACACTGCCAACAGGAGATGCTAAAATCCTTCCAAGCGCAACAAAATAAATTACCTGTCACTGGTACCGTGGAGAAAACATTAAAATACACCATGTCTACTTCATCTTTGTATGGAACTGACGTCGTAGTCGAGGAACATCGTCAGCTGGTTGATAGCATTGCTCGACATGTTGTGTATGGTAAATAAATTAAAAAATACGACCTTCTCAAAACATGATGTTCATAAGGAATAATTTGAATTTGTATTTAACAATGTGACAAAATTTTAGACTCTACTAAAGCTACACCCATAATGACGACGAATGTCGTTGCTTTCCTGTTACTCAATAAATTCCGGGATGGTTGTACACTGGATAAGCTCGTAGAAGCATTTGATTCTATAAGGCAAGAGCTGGATTGGCTTGATAAAGTTGTCGCTTTTTGCGGAGAAAGCATTGATATCATCAATCACGCAGTCAGTAACATCTTATAACCATTGTGCACTTATTAAAACTTTATCATTATATATTTTATTTTAATTTTCTCGTATATTATCATTCTTCAGCTGGATATTTTGGGTCCAGGTTTAGTCCAACAGCAACGTCAAGAAATTACAGAAACCATTGAAGGACAATCAGTCCGAAAAGAAGTTATAACGGCGATTAGACCTGTTTCTATTTTGCCAAACGTTATCGAACTATCTTACTACAGCAACACCATGGTCGTTCATTATATCCTGGACAGCGTAGTAGGTAAGAGATTTCAACGATTATTCTTTAATATTATTTTAAAATTGTATTTACTTTCAGTGACTGGATTGTACGCTGCCTTGCAATCGGAAATAAATGATCCAAAGGCCATTGCCGAAAATGACATTAGCGTTTTTCAGGATGTTCTGTTGGAAAAAACGCTCAAGGTCTGTGATATTCTTAAATACGAGTTCATTTTTTGCAAGCCTTGCCAAGATTTGGAGCAGGTCGTACTAGAGGCTATAGGTAACCTTGCGGTGACGGGCATCATCACGTTGAAAGAGGTACGTTTGGGGTTTACATGAAAAAAATATTGTTAACCGAAATTTGTAATTATCATATTATATTCAGGAAAGTTATTTGCAAGATGAAATATGGAGTAAAAGATATGCTAAAAATTTCGACGACAGTTCGGATGAGGAACATAATCGTAAGAAACAATCGAAAAAACTTCAGTACAAGGTATATAAAATTTCAAATATGCAACATTCAAAAAATTTATTTCGATTTATACTTACTGATCATTTTTATATTTATTTTTATTTTTTTTATGATTGAAAATACACTTTGCAGCTCAGCTTAGATCCTGAACACTCCAGTCGCATGGAATTCTTACATACGTTACTACGACCATGGATAGATACATACACCTATAGTGCCTTTACATTGAGAAAATTAGTCGGACGATCCTTATCCGAAAGAGATTTAGTGTGTGAAGTACTTGCAGAGATAAAAACAAATTTAGATCGTGGAATTGTCAGCTATGGTAAATAAAACGTTATTATAGTGTAACATAAATTATTTACAAAGGATAATTTCTAAGGAGAGAATGCATTTATTTTTAATAGGTGAAAGTTTATGCGTAGACCCCATAAAGAATTCTTTCAAACTTTTCGAAAAATGGAATGTCCTCGAATGCCATCCCCAGGAAAACGTAAAAATTTACTACCTAAAGGAGGAGTACGATGAAGATTCAGCAGCTAACCAAATATACGAAAGCATTGCGCAATTTAAATGGACAAGAAATATCGACTGAACGAGTACATCCCGTGACTGATATAATGAATAATTAATCTTTTTTTTTATTTACACCGAAAGGTAACTAATTTGACTTCAGATTTTTATTTTAACGATACGTACTACAAATGTTCTTTTGAGTGATGTTTGATGCATCGATATGTACTTTTTTTTTCTCAAAGATGTTTCACACCGACTCTAGGCAACTCCTGTACAGTTATAGAAATGTATGTGATAAGATATGCGATGTTGGGACGTTGTATTATATAGTCAGCCTAATATATTACCGTGCTACATATTCAACGTTACTAATATAAACTTCTCGCGTAGTAGATGGTAATTCTTGCTATTATTATTTTTATTACTAGCGTACTGCAGAGATGTAAACTATCAGAAACTAATTTTGTTATGGATTTCGAAAATATGAGATGGTTATAATAAAAATTTATTTTAAAACTTACCACAGGGATCCTGAAACTAGCTCTTTATTGCATAGATGAGCTTGGAATGTCTTTAAAAGATCCACATCTTCTTTGTCCATCGATAGTAAAGTATTTCGATGATCCACGTAATTGTGGCGAGATTCAGACCAAAGGTAAGCAAAGCAAAAACACCTTTCAGATGATATAATTGTAAAATTCGTCGTTCTGAAGAGACGCTGCCTAATTGTTCATATTCTTGAGTGACATTCTGAATCCAATGCGACAAAATGCCAGCCTCTAAAACCATCCGGAAATATTTATTGAATCCAGGAATCATTGGGTTTCCTTTGCGCAGTACTAGTACTACATTGTACGTAATTGATGGTTTCAGTAGATGAAAACCATACAGCGCTGAGTAGTTCCTTTGATTCAATTGATATTCTGCACTCATTTTATTTGTAAAAACAGCCTGATTTCCATCCGTAATTACCTGTTTTAAACAGTTAGGAACATTCGAACAGGGTACATATCTCTTAAGGATCTCTTTATCGACTGGATCCGTATGATCGAAATATTTTTCGGCTAGGTCCATAAAAGCTGTAAGTAATATTAATTTATATTAAAAAATAGTGAAAGGTACAATCGCTCAAATGAAATAATTCGAGCATGACGTTTCCTATTTTTTATAATGGCGAGCGCTATACGTTTTCTATAATAACATGATATTATATAGCATAATATACATATAGAGAATCATAACAATTTTGTATTCCGATCAGAGCTCATTCTTTGTCTGCAATCACGTGGTACTAATTGTAACGTATCATCGCATAGTATATAAAAGAAAGTGCTCTATTTTTATAGAAATCATACAGAACCTAGCCATGTATATGTTTATTGCAATTCGTATAATAATTACTCATTCGTAATCCTGAGTCAAGAACATCTTTTTGATTTAAAATTTCATTTTTGTATATATTCGTCACTAGCAAGCTAAGTAACACCATTTTGTATGCATTATACAGATGTAAGCAGGCCAATATCCATGGTGTTTTCAAGAAGCTTATGACTGCTGATTGATATACCGTTCCAATCCCATTTTCCAAAAGAGTTCCCCAGGTCCATAATAAATAGTTACGCTCTCCAATCATCTTTAACATAAATGCTACACATATGAGAGTGCATACTGTAGCTAACCAAGTTTCAGTGGAAAAACACATAATCCAACTAGACCACTGTAAGGACTGTTCGACTTGTGGTACTACCCATACCAAGGAATCCTAAAAATAGAACACAATGTTTGTTTATCATAGTTATGATAGTTTATCGATATACGTACTTGTAAATATGGCTCTGTAATGTCAGCCTTATCTAAATGCCACAGTTGGGGTATTATAGAACCAACTACACCATCGTATGGAATCGTTTCTAAATTCTTATCAGATATTGTGGCAATTAAATTAAGTCGGACTAATAATTTGTTACAAGCAAGATTAAGTAATTGTTCTTCCAAACCCTTTTGTTTTGAGTCATTATTTCGTAAAAAGTATGGCTCCCATACATTGAATTCGATCGTAAGATTGCAATTTTTAAACTTTTTTGGAAGTACTGGTAGACCAATTTTATCGTTGTATAAGTATGTTTTATTTGTCATAGTTCCCCCGAATCTTATAATATTGTGTATTTTCGGTGGCCCACAATATCCCTCTGGATAGTAAGGACGCCACGTGTATGTCTCGTATACAAAATTTTCTTTATCTAGAAATACCGTGAACAATAATATTAATGTATAATGATAATGTTATTTTAATTACTTTTAACTGCCATGTCACCTGCTTGCATATTTTCTGTAGGAATAATCACTGTGATATTGTAAACGAATTTTTTCCACAACTCAGTTATTATTTTTACGGCAGACTTTTTACTTTCAGCAATGCAAATATAAAGTGCTCGAGGATTCCATGTAGATGAAATATTACGCTCCAGCAAGTCCAGTATCGTATTATTGAACATTGGTATAAAATAAGTTTTTGGTTTTTTTTGCGAATACATACCAAGTCTACGTTTAACTGTTCCATCTAAAAACAAAAAGTTCCCTTTTCTTCTAGTCTCACATAAATATTTTATTAAATTCGTACCAGTAATAAGAATAGAAATATGATTAATGGTTTTCAGAATGTGATCAACCATGCCATCGTTACAAAGAGAATATTTTTTCAATAATAAAATTTCCAAAATTTCCGAAGATTTATTATGCAGTTTTACTAGTTCTCCAATTATCTCTGCAACATGCTCATTTCTTCGATCATCCCGTTCACAGTTGACCGCATTAAAAAAATGCACATTGTGTTTTTTAGATTTGCCCAACAAAATTTTATTGGCATTCCCATATAGTGAAATTATCCAAAAGGCCACAGAGAGTGTCTCAAGGTAACGAAAACTATACATGTTTTTGTCGTGAGAATGTAGCTCCTCTCAAAAGTGACTTATTGACACTGAATAAAACTTGCGGCTTATGAAGTTTGTTAAATATTCAAATAGTTCATTTAAAACTTATTACATGAACTTCTTTAATAATACTAAGGCATCACGTAAAATTTCACCTTTTTATATTAATTTTTTCTGAAACCCCTATGTAAATACTTTTCGATTCCGTTATCAAATAACAGTGATCGTTCGATAAATGAAATGCGAGACATGGCACAGACTAGTTTAATTTACTGATAAGAATTTTGTTTTAATGCTTACACACAACTTTTCTTTTACGTTGAGCATCATATTTATTTAATTGTTTGGCTAAACATGTGACTTCAATTTCTTGAACCAGACTTACACATTTATCCGTACATTAACGATTCATAACGATACGACACAGTAAATGTAAATAAATAGGTTCGCGTGTACAGTAGTCAACCCTTATAGTTTTAAATACGTTATCTTCACTTTATTGCAGAAACACTTATTGATATCGCGATGTAAATTACTCAGGGAATCGTAATTTCCCATCAAACGCAAAGTAAAATATTAGCAATTCTTTAAATTTCTTACTAAAGGATGTGATTCAGACAACACTTCAGCTGTGTAACACATTATATCTCTGAATATAAAATTGTAACATTACCGATATCTTATTATTCTATAATAATTATTTAAAGCATACCATATACAGCGAGTGGGAACAATATAGTGATATAAAAATAAATATATTATACAAAATACATGTAAATCACAACGTTATAAGACAAACCCAACAAACACAAGAGTTGTTCATTGCTCAACCATTACTTGGTCTATCGATTAAGGAATTGAACCAGGAAGGATCGATCATTGATCTATTCTCATGTGTTTATTAGGAAGAATATCGATAACCTGTCAATATACAACAGTAGCTGTAATAGGATAACTTCTTCGCATTCCCATGCATTTTTCACGATCCACAAAAAGTGCATCGACCTTTGCTTTGAGATCCGTTTCTAAATTAGCTCTTGTGCGTAAAAGTTGTTGATGCTGCGCTTCACTTTGTTGCACCTTAATATGCATGTCGTGTATCATAGAATTAATAGTTTCCACTTCCGATATCATTCTAAACAGTGAATTAGTTGAATTTTACAACATACAATAATTATATAGCATTACACAGAACGTACCTAAGTTGCGCATAGTCCTTGCACAATTCTAATTGTGGTCTATGAGTTCTTGCTTCTAAACGTGTATGTGCCACTTTCAGAGCTGCACTTTTATCAGCTATAGCTTTGCGCATTAATTCTAAATTCTTTTCAATATTGAAAATCTCCTGCTGAATCTACAATTGTAACGTGAGAAGTTATTTGATATTAAGGCATATTAGAATTTTATTGGGCGTCGTCAAGGCTTACCTTATATAAATGAATTAGGAGTTTACTCTTGGCTTCGAGCATCTCTGCAGATCTTCGTGCCAAAGCATTATTCGTATTGCTCCAAGCATTCCACATCTCTTGTGCCACGGCATTTATCATGGTTTCAATGTCGCTACGTAGCTGGCACGACGTTGCTCTTTCATTTTGAGATTTTTTCACAGTGCTATTCGAAGCCTCTGCCCAGGACTCGGCTTCCGTGATACTAAAGGAGATTGGCAATGAGAGTTTTATAAGGGAATTTGTAATATTTCGTTTTTCATAGAAATTGTTTAATTTTACCTGGGATCATATTTCTCGATCCCGCTATAATACTGTAGACCTCTACTGAAGTTATTTAACTGATGACACATGGTATCAATCCCCAAAGCACCTTCTTTATTCTTAATATCCATATCTAATTCGTTTTGAACTGCTCTGCCTCTTTGGAGCTGAAACATTTTTTTTTTTAATGTAATTGTAGGAAAAAATTTTATGTACATAAGTATATTTTAATTGTGATAAAGATATAGTGTTCTTATTATTTCATATTTTTTTCGTTAATATGGGGTTTACCTGCTTTATGCACTTGTTGGTAAATTGTTCCAATTTTTTTTGACAATTTAGTACCGTCTCAATTTCTTTAAGCAGTGCTTGCTCCGTTTGATCATGCACAAGTTCGGTACCTAAAAACATACCAGAATTATATAAGAAAATTGTCAACTCAACAAATTATTTCTGTAATATGTACCTTTCCGTGACTCGCGATTATATAGACACTCTTGAGCTATGTGCAATGGACCTTCAAGATCCTGTATAGCTTTATTAAGTGTCTTTCTACATTCTTGCATTTTCTCATTCTCAATAATTATTCTTTCCAATTCAGAAGCTACTTCATTGCGCCAGAATGATATGTCAGTGATTCTTTCACCGAGCTTTCGACCTGTTTCCTTCTGTCCATCCTGCACCCTCTCATCAGCTTCCCTGTACGAAATCAATGAAACAGCAAATGCTATATTACATTAACTAAACCTAGTTTAACTGGAATATTTTGTGCAAGGACGTAAAATGGAAAACGAACCGCATCAAACGAACAGTATCCTTCCGTAATGATTCAGAGAAATGTCGATTTGAATCAGCTTCATTATAAAACCTTATTTGATTTTGCACCCACTCATACGGTGTATATCTTGTGTAGAGAGCAGTCCTTGCCGCGTGACTTGGATTTCTTTGAAAGCCATATTTTTCATGCATACTTTCAAGAGTTGTCCGATTCATTGCGGAATATTGTCGATAATAATCAGAAGCTGAAGGATCCAAATATTTGGTATCATAGGATTTACTATATGTCGTCTTCATGTCCGAATTTATTGGCTTCAATTCTTTAGTTTGATCAATACACATCAGAGTCTGATCTATCAAATTTTGTTGATCAAAATTACGGGCATATGACGTTTTATAATGATCAGCCATAAGGACAGGTTTGTTAGGAGCCATATTAATTAAATCTGTTTTTAAGATTGTTAATATAACGGAAAAATAATTTTAAGATAAAAGTTTAAGAATAGTAGTGTAAAGATTAAAATCACTTCGCCGCCATAATGCGGTGTGAAATCCGGTACATTATTTATACATATAAGAAAAATCATCATCAGTAGTCAGTTGTTTCATGTTTTGTCAATGCTTTATGTGTCAATTCAAAAGAATGTTAAGATATATGACGTTATTTACATATTTGGTTCCAAATGGATAAAGTACATAATAATAATTAGTACAACGAACACGACCGCTGTATCTTTTGCTTTATTACACATTTGAAGTTATTACATATCTTTGTCCAGAAACCAGACACTTTTGTATATTTCATTTTTTTCTCTGTTTTTCCTTGTTTTCTGAAAGCGTAGAACACGTATAATTTTATTGCTCGCTCGGTTACGTACTCAGCAAATTACCAAGTGGATTTCGATTGACGAGTTTATTCGAAACACATTAAGATCATTTTAAGTTATATGATGCCACATAACAATATGGAGACAATTTGTCGGTTCAGTACCAGTGTTTCCATAAACAGGAACAATTTTAGGATCGCATCCTCGATTTCAGATCGTAAAAGAATGCTTTTGATCCGTTCTCCTTTTGCAAAAAGAACTAGGGAAAGTAATATGAAAAATTCATTACACTCAGCTCAGTTCAGAACGGTGCAAAAGGACATTGACGCCACGAAAGGTTCCTGGCTTTTCAAAAAACAGTCTTCCCTCACGTAAAATTGAATGCGAAAACGCATATATAACACATGGATCATAAGTAACACCATCTATCCTATTGTCCCGTTTAGACGTAAAAGAAGAGAAACAGACGGCAAATCGAAACTATTTGCCTAAAGTCATCCTGTCTTGCTGCACTTAAAACAAAAGCCTGGAGTTAACGACGCAATCACCACTTCTTAAATTATAAACGCAATTAAAAAGTCATATGAAATCAGAGTTGACAGTTTCCTATGTAAGCTGATATTCAACAGACAGTACCTAAGAGGTAGTAGCAATCCTTTTTTATTATTATTCGATTGATTATACCGCAATCAGTTTTTCCGTCCTCCACGTCTCTTCATAGAAGATGTACACTGAGGACAGTACCACTTGCCCTTTGGTGGAGCTGTTATGCCCACACATGGATAATGGAACCATTCGAATGGACACTACGTACAAGAGATAAATGATTATAATAATTTTCAAACGCCTTTTATAATAGATTCTGTATATGGTCCATACAGTTTTATAAGCTGTACTTACATCAGAGTTGTCACAGGCGACCATATCTCCATAAGATACCTGATTACAAATACAATATCTTGGCTCATTAGGGTCGTAGGTCCAATCTGGATTATCTGGATCTGTACCCGCAACAGGTGCGGTCACTACTGGCGGTGAAACAGGTTGCTGAACTGCGGCAGTAATAACACTTGAGCTGGGAACAGTAGTTGTTACTTTTCTGAAAGCAAATATTTTAGAATTAGTTCATTCTGTAATGTGTTTCTTTTAGAAGATTATGTAAACCACGTAGCGCACTTCTTATGCTTTTTAGTTGTTTCTTGAATAGCTGCTATGGCAGTTTGAGCGGCGCCGGCCAATTCTCTACTGAACTCAGCTGCATGGACCCCACCAGTGTTGATGGCTTCATAACTAGCTTTCAGACTTGCAGTTCGTCTTCCTTGTTGCATCTGCTGCGTGGCAGCAATCGCTTGCGAAGCTGCTGCTGCAATGGCATTACCACCTGCACCAATATGGCCAAGATTATAGCTGACTGAACCGACTGAGTTGGCAATTGCGTTAGGGGTTGGTGGTAGGTTTGTGGCAGCAATAATGGGACCAGAATTGGCTGATGCTGGTCGAGACTCAGGAAGACTCGGAGGAATTTTTTCTACCGCTAAACGTTTCTCTATTGATGCGGACGATGCATTTGAGTCTCTCCTCTTTTCTGCTCGTGCTGCTGAAGAAGGAGATATAATTTGGTTATGTGAATAATACTTTTTGATATTAGTTTCCAATATGCTGGTGCGAATTGACTTACAATGACTGTGATTGTCACGGGATCTACTTGGTGTAAAGCTATAACGATTTTCCTTTTGACTACTATTCGTAGGCGGCTGATCTAATTCCAAGGAGCGCTTTTCCAAAACTTCAGTAATGCCCTTGTTATCAGCCTCGAGCTCCATTTTAAATTTGTGCAGTTCTTGATCTAATCTTCTTAGATATCTATCCACCAAGTCGTACATCTGGTTTGCTAGGTGCACCTTTTCATCCGCATCCTCTAATGTCTTGTAATACTCTTTCCTAATTGTTTCGTATTCCGCATCCTTCTCGCTAGGTTTCATTTTCTTGGCGTTGGAGAAGAAGGTTTTCACCTTCTTTTCCAAACTGTCCATCGAGTCTGAAGAAAAATTTGTTGATCTCTAACATCGTATTAACAGAAGGACTTAATTGATCGTATAATTGGCATACTTTGAACACCTAAGTCCATCTCCCTCATTTCAGTAAAACGGTCCCTCAACTCCTGTGGGAGATGCTCGATCACTGAAATAGTAATAAAAAGTTATTCAACATAACCAAAAAAAGAGGATAGAAAGAATGCTCATATAAAATCCAATGAATCTAAATATATACTAAACTTGTGTGAATTATGAAATTATATTTCAATTGATCTAATCATTATCAGTAAATAAGAGTAACTTAAAAATGTATCATTGAAGATAGATGGTTGTACTATCCAGTCGAAAAATATTGAGTTAACCAAAACGTATGAAACTATTTATCATAAAAGTTTAATAAAACGAAAGTACCTGATGGATTCTCTACAAAACTAATAAAAAAATTATTTAAATTCCGTGTAATTGCATGACATTATCAATAAAAGTAGCATGAGAATCAAATTCCCAACACTTGCAAGAGAGTGTATATTTAGAAAGGGTAGTACTCTTCCCAAAAGACTGAGTGAGCTGAGTCCGCTTCATTTTTACGTACTTTCAACATAATCTTCCAAGTAAAGCATCCTTTCGTGCTGGCGTATCCTTTCCGAGTCCTTAAATTATAGTTATTTACAATTTTCTACAAGGGGGTGTGTGCCGCTGAGCCAGGTTTCGTGAAAATTGCAGCAGTCGATCGGAAGCGTGTTTACAGCAACTGAATCTCTCGTTGCACCCGAATTTTCACAATTTTGCCTGTATAATTTCTAGTCGTGTAACATTTTTTAAAATCATTTTTTATCAAATATATTACTGTCCAGATTGGAAATCATTTTATCTTAGAACGAATCTCGATATAATATTTGATTTCTCGAATATTATCATAGAGTTATGTTTTTCGGAGTTCTCAGCCATGTTTTAAATTTGCATCAGGGACGGCTTTAATAATGGGACCCGGGCCCTAACTCTGTATGAAATATTTCCACGTTTTCAAAATACATATTAAAATTTGCTAATATTTTACACAAATTTAATCAGAAGAATAACGCTTAGATTGTTCAAGGAAATTCAGTTATTGCAAAGACTTTAATTTTTGTTCAACAGGATGATTCGCCGTAGTCCAACAAGAATTGCCCTCAGACTAGATGATCTCCAGGAATATGAAGCAATGAGAACAGAACAAGAAGCAAAGAAGGAATCTGAAAGGCGTGGAAGTTTCAATGCTCCTACTTGGAATCAAAAATTACCTCAGAGTGTAATACAAGAGAGAATTGGTTATGTACCGCAGGTACAAGTGCCTTCACATTCCAGACCTAACATATAATTTTATTCTTAAATCCATATGAATTATAACTTTGTTAATGGGCTATTTTACGGAAATAAAGTTTGTCAGTTAGAATTAATTCACAATCAGTTATTTCGGAACATTTATTAATAGATTACTAAAATATACATGGCAGTATCTTTAAGAGTGACGCCTTGACAAAAGGAGGTAGTTGTTACACTGTTTTTGAAGCTATAATCTCAAATCAAATGTGAAGTACATTATCATTAAGTATGTATCGATAACTTGTAGGCAACAACATGTTGCTAGGAAAAAATTATTGCGAGCACTTATTTTAACAAAACTTATTGCCAAATCATCTTAATTTATAAAGATGATCTCTTTCAATGAAGGATCATTCAATATTGTCCTTCATGTATTGATTTTTTCGAATAGTGGACTGTTGTAAATACAACCCACAACACAATATATTGAAACATAGATCTCTTAGAGTTCCAATTTGTTTGTGGTTCTTACATCTCATCAATGCTGAACATTGGCAGTTATAAATTATTGCATTAACAAAAGAAGGATACTTAAATTAGTACCTAAATATTAAGAAGCTCAATAAGGAGTAACATGAGCATGAGAAATAACATGAGCACTAGGAAAAATTTACACGCGCATTAAAAGCTCGTTAGGCATGGTCTAATGAACCAACAAATTCACTAGCAAATTAGTCTGCTGTGGCTTGATCTCTTACGTATATACATACATAAGCTTTTTTGACAGTCTTCAGACAGAAGACTTCATTGACAGACCCTCAAGACTTGCAGACGATCTGCAAGAGTTTGACCCTCACATCATTATGTGTATATATTACTCTCATGCCACATTAAACAGAGAGTCAATCATTATTACGAAGATAAACAAATTTTATCCTTTGTCTACGCTTTAGAACTTTGTCTACATTTAAATCGGTGCATTTTTCACCGTGATTTTTATAAAGACTATTGCTTCACGGGCATTACAACCCTTTGTTGAAGTACAGATACTCTGGTATCTTTCCCTTTGGGCAGTTTTTCTTCAATATTTCATAATTTTCCGGCTCCCACTGTTGCAACGTGCTCACTGCAATCGAACTGGAAAAAGAAGAACCAGAAAGTTTTAATCATTAAGCACTCAAGACATTTGGTAGAATTTTATAACAAAACATTCGTAACAATATCATTTGCTAATAGATATAAACAATTTGGCAAACATTCAAAGTGCCAATTGAGTTTCCAACTTCACGGCCAAGTGCTATCAATAGACTACGACAACGAATAGTCGGATCATGACGTAAAAGGGAAATGGACATACTTCAATCATTATCACCAAAATGAGATATTGACCCATGCATTTATGAATGACATTCTTTAAAGATAAATTACAATTTTCCTTACCATCTTTGAGGGAATAAAGCACATGCTGTGGGTACCATAAATGTCAGGCTAAAATATTTAAAGAGATTCAGTAAAAATGACAATTAAATCATAAATTTTCCAATAGAAAAATGTACTTACAAACAGCCGACCATCATCACTTGCATAGGTGCATGAAGTGCCTTAATCTTTTGCATCCAAGGATATGTTTCTAACTTTTCCATAATAGGGGGTAGAATAACTGTATAAACATAGAGCACAGATCATTAATCTTCAGTGAAATTACCCTGTACGATAAAATCAGGCAATGCGATGTAAACCTGTACATCATCGATATACTATGGTGTACTATAATGATACATACGCATGCCAGGAGCGCACATAACGATCCTAGAGATGATCACTTGGCTGATACCTTTCACAGCAGCAATCTAAAATCAATTGCTCGATCAAGCATGAACCATTCACGGGATTACATTAATTTTGAACGAATGATCGGAAACGATGGTAAAACTAGATAGAACGTAAATTACCTTCGATCTAGTGAGCTTGTTACCGTTCTCATCGCTCAATTCTATACCGCTTCGTATCTCATTCTGTCTCATTAAAGGAATATTGGCACAGTTCGCCGCAGCTACAGCCGCAAAGGGGACGTATCTCTGAAGATTTCGGCGAGGAATGAATTAACGCGGAATCATATTGTGCATTGATTATGTTAAAAATAATCTGAATGAAATTGGGAATTAAATTTGGGCGACTTACAGCCATGAGGGGATTCGCCCTTTTTTCCCAAAAGGTCTTACATCCTATTGCTGTTAACATTGCTGCGGCCGTTGCGCTTACATAGGCTGTACCTAGTTGTGCCGTTGTTACAGGACTATTGGCATTTCTATTTGTATAATTTACTAATGCATTGAATGACTGGTTAACCCATTGCCAAAAAACTACGGCTGTGGTGGTTCTGGAAAGAAGGGCAAGAGATTCATAAGACTTTTCTTATCTGGAACAAAAATTAACTCCCTTGTATATGAATTTACCTGTAAAATTGTAGCATGGCTCCAGTGACAGCCATTCCACCCGGTACTTGGAAGGACATTCTACCAAAGACATTTTGTAGCTCACCCGTATCCGGATGAAATGCAGATTCGTAGAGCTTCTTTGCGTATATTATCTGCTCCCTGGTTGTACCCGCTGATTCTTTGCCAAGCCTGCAAGGCAAAATAAACGCAGCTGTTATGAGACTTGCAGAAACGCAAAGTCCCGATTCCAAAATTATCATTTAACGATGGGATGTTGTTTTGAATTTTTGGTTATTCTTGATAAGACGAATACAGTATTTTTTGACATTTTCAATATTATCTAGCTATATATACTACTACAGTCATTTAAAAAAATTCCTAAGAGCACTGTCACATTTTTAAGAAAGTTCAAGGCCTCTGATTATTTTTCTTACGGAGATATCTATTTTCGAATTCAAGTCTCATAATGCTTTCGAGGATACTTTTAGGAACTTTTATTTTCGTTCGATTCGTATGTTGCAATTCATTATCATATATGCAAGGTACAGCTGATTGAAAAATATCATATATAAATCAACATAGCCTCTGGTTTGACCTTTAAATTTTTATGTGCAATCAACACTCATCGCATTAACGTTGTAAGCGATATAGCAGCAGCAAGCTAAAGGGAAATAATTAACAGCAGGCCGAAAGTCAATTACGCAAGGAAATGCGTATACATTGAATACAATAAAGAAGTACGTGTTTATGTTTTAAAAAATGTTTGCATAAAGGAGTAGAAAATTCAGACGCGATATCACGTCGGAAAACTTTGTAAAATAATGCGAGTCTTTAGAAAAAAATGAGATTAGATACGAGTCATGTCACGAAGCCTTTATCAACTTCATTATATTAGTACTCAGGTAAATTAATTCAACTTGGTAATCTTTACTATTATTTTGTGAAGCAAGTAGAAAAGATTCAGTGTTCCTCCTGCATTCCGTGGAGTAATCGGATTCGTTGAAGAACTCATACATTCCGCGGATCATTAGATTAATCATTGGCTCATCGTATCCATACGAATACCCTTGACTTCTACGATACGTGTCATATCATATAAAGAACACATCGTGATTAGCACTTTTTATAATTACGTTTATAATCAATTTTACTTAAGCTCAGAGTTCATCATTATGTCCACGATGCATCCAGTGACGACACAACATAACAAAAGCACCTTGAAACTATTTGGGCAGTTGTTGGCAATTGTTGAATCATTTGGCTAACGTAAGATATTATTTCTGGAATCACGTACGTAGATAACGTCGTCTCAAATTATTTAGACAGTTTTTTTGAGGTTCATATTAAAAAAAAACTATTGTCATACCTTCTCTTTGTATCGTAATGACAATGTTAATATCAAACATTCAGAATACGTGAATTCCCGGTAATACAACCTCACCTGTAATCTTCGCATAAATTCTTAGCCGCATAAAGTTCCTTTTCGGATGCGACACAAGTACGGAAATCGGTAACCCAAGCGAAGTGCCGCCATCTGCCCAGGAACGTGCTTTGATCCCAGAGAGGCTTATCTAAGTCCAGTCTATCGGTCGTCATTTTCTTCGAAGAGGGTTTCCTGGACGCGTTTCTGGAAAAGGCATAAGCGTCAGAGGGACCGTATGGGGGGATTACGTTTGTTCGACATCAGAGAATTCGACACAGTACGAGCCGAAGCGAAAGGGGAACAGGATTGAAAAGTAACGCATTTATTTTGTAAGAGTCTATGTCGTAAAGACCCAGAGAATCTTATCAGGACCTGTATAGTGCAAGAGATCGTGAACCGAGTAGAAACGGGTTCGAAGTGCGGTAATGTCAAATGGTAAAGTAGTTCCTAACAGATTCAAAGTAACAGTTACATATTGGCAATGTTATAAGTTCCTAGTTCCTAATCAAGGATTATAACAAGACATTTTATAACTATTATTTTCTTCAACATGAATTTCTAATATTGAATATATGAAACTGTTTGTATTTGTTGGGTTACTAATAAAACTATACGAATTTGCATACGATTGTCAACTCACTGTGCATATAGTTACGTCATGTTGATTATATATCAACAATCATCTTTAAATATTTAAAGAAAAAAATCCGATAAGTCTATAAAACATCAACAATTCACGTGACAAGTACCTTAAGAAATTAATATATGACGGGAATAGGAAAATAATCTATTATCATATACTGACTGTTGTTTACTAGAATGAGATACTGAATAGATTTTATCAGGAGGGAAAGTAATCTTTCGCGATTAAATTCATGCAACATACAATGTCCCTGAGATATTCAGAAGGCGTCTAGACACTTTAGAGGATGATTCTCTTGGACCTTCTCATACTGTATGAGAATTATCTTTCATCGTTCCTTGGACGGTGTATACAGATTTCTTTTACATTTAAATAGCATTACAGAAGAAAATAAAATTTCGATATCGACTGTGTCATAGGAGAGCGACTGTCAGTTCCATTCCGTGTATACAGAAACACAGGTTGGTGTTGTATGGACGTGTATTAAATGAGGAATTATACATTTCAATTTCTGATGTACTATGAACATGGCGAATATATTTACTAGAGTCTTGCCTCACGATCGTTCGAATCCTAAGCAAGAAACAATGTTTATAGAAAGAATTGTGTGAAGATTCACATATTTCGTCTGCTTACCGTGAACTGCAAGCCTCCTCTGGTCACTGACAACGACTAAGCAAAGCGCACACGCAAATCCTAAGGTCGGTGGCACCAAGATTGTTGGTACGTCACTGTCATCTTCCCAATATTATTATCATTATGTGCTGTACGTTAGAATTATCAGAACTAGTATCGTGTATATCTCAAAATTCAATGCGGATATTGTTATTATGAAATTCTGTATTGGGAGACGTAAAACAAAGTAGTTTAACCGATAGAGTAAGAGAAAAAGAAAGGGAGATAATATATTTTATGCTAGGTAAATGATACAGGATGCAAATTTTTGGGTAGTTCTTGAACGTCGTGGTATTAACAGAATGAATTAAGTTCAAGGTCATCCTGTTTAAGTTACCCGAACATGTGGCATTCACAAGAAATAGTTTTTCCCTCCCGGTACAAAGTACAAGAAGTCGACGCGACAAGCGACTAAACAATTCCTTGGACTAAAGTTATGGCTCTTCGGATGTGACCACATTTTAGTCGAAGAATTTACAGACGTTTTTTAAATTAGAGTTTATGAACGTGAGAGTCGATTCTGATGAAATGTTGAAAACGGCCATGAATACTGTAAGGGTTCATTTCTATATGTTTCATTGAATCTATGATTGACTAGTGAAATACATTTCAAGTCTTTTGCTAGATTAAAATAATATTTGGAATAAAAAATTTGATCTTCAAATAGATTCATAGTAATCTAGTAATCTACGGATTGCATGAGCTTTTATAGAAGAACCAACTCGTTATTATTTCAGTCCATTATGCATAGCGGTTAGTGATGTATAACGCCACAGTATACTTAAACATCCATTAGCATTCAAAAATTTCATTTGCTACCATTTCCAGAAACTAACTAACCCTAACAGCGAATACCATCACGTCCTTATTTACAGGGTAGTCCAGTCATGGTACTAAGCAAGCATTAACCCCCCAAAACAGTGCCGTACATACTATTCTAAAATGGTACCATTAATAAGAATCTTATACCAGTATATACTATATTCCCATCGTCTGAACTGAATAATATGATAAATTAATTTGAGTCGGTTGTCTATGTACCCTTATTCTAAAAAAAAAACCCTTTCAAATCACCATACAAGTTTCTCCAGGTAATTTCTGTGTATGTAAATCATATGGCAGAATCTCAGAAATTATTTTTGTCAACGCTCACTCGAAAAAGAATTTTTTCGTGCCTAGAAAAATTTTGTTCAACTGTCATCCAACAAGAGGAATTTCACGTGAACATTGCTCTAGCGCAGGGCACTGTAAGAAATCTAACGGCACTGAAGAAGGAAAGCATATGCGCCTGCGTGAGTCAGTCGCAGCCCCAGCTCACAGCTGTGCATGCGGCATCGGTGGGCCCTCTTCTCTCTGCACCCCGCGCAACAAGCGAGCAGCTCCTCACGTCATCCGGACAGACTACAGAGGCGAGCAATAATTCTAACGAACCAATATGGCGGACGTTGAGACCCCGTCCGCTCCGGTCCTTGTCAGGGGTGAAAAGATCCTCGTGACTGTTGACTCTGCTCTACCGGATATCATCGTCGTCTCGTTCGATCATGGAACTAAATCCTTCCAAGGAGCCCTGCTCGATGTCACCAAGAGGTAAGCCCACGTTTCATAATGAAATATGCCTCCTTGTACTTTACTAACTTTACACAGAGTTCTATCTGTTGTCGGGCTTTCCTCTGGAATCGTTTAACTTAGACAAATTTGATATGTACCTTTGGAAAGCTTGAATTTTTCCGCAGTAAATGGTATATTGCTTATCCTTGTAGGACTTACAGTTCGAAAGTTTTCATTTTTCCTGTTTCAACCTCTTCACGGACAGTGCAATGGATGTGATTTTTGTATCGTCGATTATTACGAATTGTACATGGTGGTGTTATTTCTATCTTGTGTAACATATTCGTGAGGGTCTTCCCCTGAATAATCATGAGTTTTGGATTGATTATTTTTGTTGTATACTCACATTGGAGATGGATTGAACGCGCGTCATCGTTGCGTTTACAAGGTTCTCTTTGCAACGTCGATATGTCCTCGATTTTCTAGATCTTCCAACGATAATCAATTTTTATCTTATTACAGTGATATTTGGTTAACCCATACGCACATAATAAACTGATTTAGGGAAGTCAGTGTCGTAGAAATAGACATTCCCATGAAGGTGTCCTCGTTAAGCCTGACGTCCTGTCGCGCATTGTCAAACAGCTGCGAGCCTTTCGAAAGCTGAAAATCCTCGCCACAGGCTTTCAACCAGTGATACGAATCAATCTCACGCTCTCACCATTCCGTGATAGATTTTCGCAACTTTTCACTGATCCACCATCATCGTTACGTACTCTGGGAATTTTCAATAGGCCTGATCAAACGTTTGAAGCCTTCGTCACAGTATCCGTTTTACACTAGCGACGGCTCCATAAGATTCTCATTATCGGCAATCTTCAATATCTTCAGATACCTTATCTTTGAAAATGCATCTATGATATCATTGCAACAATCGTCTTTAAATACTTCACTCACCAAGATTTGATATTTCCAAATGCCCAATAGCAAAGAAGAGATGGAAACCTTATCGATATTTCAGACTTGTCGAATCCTCTCATTTCCTAACCGATTACTAAAGATGCCGATCGAGGTTGTTCTATATATTACTAATTTGGACAAGATTTCTGTATATATATATTTCCTTTGATTAGCTACAAAAGTCTACATCTCGTGTTCAGATCTGGTTGAATATACGCCACCAGTAATTCCAGATTCTTCGCCTCTAGAGAGACCGCGATTATTCATGACTCATATTTTTTTTCTAACGTTGGCTTAGTATAACGGCATGAAGGCGCATTTACAAGTGGGGAGTTCGAATCGTGACGGTGATTCAACAATCGCGTATGTCTCATCTGTCACAGAAAGGGTAAATAATGGCGTCCCTCCTACTGAAATTATGATGATGTACTAGGAGAATCTTGTAACAAAAATAATAACCCAGTAAAAAAAGAAAAATGTACAGGAAGAGCGATACTGTAGAATTTATTCTCTCTTTGCTAGAAAGATCAAATGATCGTGTGACACGCGATATTCCCTACTCAACCATGCGCGGAAATTGGTTCGACGAAATATTCATAATTTTGAATTGATCGGAAACCCTGTAACGTTTTCGATATGTATATCTCTAACCCCTTCGGGTACCTTACCACTTTAACTTACGGTTGGCTATTTATTTTTGTCATTTGCCGTGACACCGGTGGCTCTATTTGCATTTTATCGACCACGACTTGATCGATTGTGAATCCAGGGTCTCCGTGATCCAACTTTTGTCACCAAATAAAATTAAGACATAGTTATCGCGATTCAGTTAAACTTACGTAATGTGGCACGTCTCTACATGACACATAGTTTTAATCAATAGAACTTGCTAGTTATGCTTTGTCAAGAATGACTTTGGATTTTAGTCAATCCGTCCGAGCTGGTTAATTAGGTCATCAACGGAATAGATTAGCTGAACTGTTATGTGAAATTTATAAAAACATAGACGCATAGCTAATACTATTAGTGCTCGTTAACCTATTAGAGATAATGTTCGTTTTGAATTCGAATTAGAATATAAGACCTGAAACGAGTGCAGTCAAGATAAATATAATAAATAATTTATTTAGGCTGCACTGGTTGACACGAATCCATGTGTTCCAATTCATATTCATCTATCAGTCAAGACTAAATTTGATTGAACTTTCCCTCGGAATATCCGTATCTGACGTCATTGCAAGTTTAAGAGGGTCCAGTAGGCAAGAGTTCACGAGATGTAATATCGAGGAAGGCGATGCAATTTTACAAGTCCGGTAAGGCACGTCGCCCGGAATCGTGCAAGAACGTAGATCGAAGGTAGTTAATGTACCGACGATCATGAAATTCCTTTCTTCCCTTCACAGTGACGCAACTACGAAGGTCTTTCTTTCTAAGCAGCCATCTTGAAACCGTCCACGTTATTACGTCCGTTCGGTTTCTTTCGTGCCTGACAGGAATCGACCAGGGACAAAACATTGAAAGCACTTCGTACATCGCAAGAGCACCTGTCCTTAACAGCGTCTTCCTTATTTATAGCTATTCTTTATCCTGAAGTTATTAGGAAATATAAAAGTCGTACCGCGAGCAGTATCTCTTTCATAAATCGTGCCTGGATGATGGGCGGTGGCCGTGACTGCGTATCAAGCATCATGCGGGTTGGGAACCATTTTGGAATTTGATTGATGGTTGTCCTAATGAATCACGGTTCGATGGAAACCGTAAACGCCCCTCTCTTCGCGTTCTTGGATATCATCAAACCAGCAACGTTGAAGGAATTCGCCATCTTCTCGAAAATGGATATAAATAGGAGGATCCATTGAGTATTGCAGCAAAGGCGTCTACGTTGAATCCGCCATTGATTTTACGCCGATTCTTTGACTGGGTTATCATTGTCGTTCGAAACACGTACTGTAGCTAGGTATATTAGCTGGGTACTAGACCATTCAGGAACAACACAAAGGCTCTACGTAGATGCGCTCGATACCGACTCGTGATGCTCGTCAAGCCAGAAAAAAGTGACAAAGAACCGTAACACATGAGTTAGCTAGGCGAGGCTTACTTAGACTTATGAAAGAGAAACCAAAGACCAGCTTTTAGGATTTTTAGCAGACAATGCCAATCTTATCTGTGACGGCGGCAAAGTACCATAAGACATCTCTGACAGTGAGCCGAAGGGTAGGCACGATTAAAAATCCTCTTAATTGGCTGAGCTTAATGAGTCGATAATCAGTAATATTTCCGAAAGCTCCTTTTGTTCTGAATCCTTCGATTCGCGTATTTCTCATGGACAGGAAATTCCGAACAAAGAACTGATACCCGGTACACAAGGTGAAAGACTGTCCTGACGCGTATGCCGTTAAAACTCATTACTCATTTCAGAAGAATCTTTCTAATTGCATCTTGCTTAATTACTCGCCACGTTTACAGTGCGAGAATGGTGAAAAACGAGGTACAATCTACAATGCAAATATCGTGTGGTGTAATACGGGAATCTGCGAATTCGTAAATAAGCTGCGACTGGCCAAATCAGCAAAAGAACCTCGGAGTATCGGATTATCTGTATTTTTTAAAAAGATGTTGCTGAAAGTACTTTTCAGATCTGAAAACATAATAGGTATGGCAACCGTCTGTCGCTCATTGTCTGCCTCTCGAATCAATACTTCATGTGGGTGTGCTGTACGTACTCCAGCTAGCAAATACACACGTGTTTGCTCATTGCCTAATAATCACTTACCTCAGGCTACCTTCGTGATCGTTATCTCGGCATCGTCGATTTCCTTCTCGTGCCTCGAGATTTCGTTTCTTTCAAGAATATACTCGCCTCTCGTTCTCTCAGCCGAACGAAGGCCCGCCCTATCTGGCGGGTTTACACAAAGCACACGTACGAATTCACTGCAACGAAGAGATTGTTGCGAAGGGAGCGTAGGCCGGTTCTTGAGCTCTTCCACGATATACGTATAATATTTAAGTATTGTATGTGTGTTTCAGTATATACATATTGCATATATCGAAAGGAAGATCCTTTTCTATGAGATACGTTTAATGTTCCAGGGGACTTCCTTGCGGCGTTCAACCTCCTGAACCTGTACCGGATCCAGACGGTGACAAACTGGCCACGATAGCTGCTCGATTCAGTTACTTTCAAGAGAAGAGAGGACCTCCTATTGCGGCGAAGATAGATCTTCGACGTAACATTAATCCACCGGCGAGATACAAGAATGCCAGACCTACCGTGAGACTGAGACCGAGGCAGGTTCTTTGTAGCAAATGTAGATCGATCTGCAATGAGAACAGTGAGAACGTTGACGTCAGTCGAAAGAGGAAACACGAGGCTCAAGCGCATCCTCAGCCAACAAGAAGAAGCGATCGTCGCTGTGCTCAGCAACAGCCACAGTCCCAAAAGAATCAAAGGAGTTTGTTTTCTCAAAGTCAGTCAGACAATACCTCGCAACAGTCGGCGAAGATTCCTCTAAGTCCAGTTGCTGATTCCTCGAAGATGACGCCAAGCCTTATTCCTAAACTCTCTAGGCTTCAGCCCAACGAGATAAGCAGCGCTATGCAGTCAGTAGGTGAGTACGTGTACACGCCTTCTACTTTATGGATGGAATGGCTGCTACTTATATGCTAGGAATACTTGACGAGTTGGAGAAGTATTCTCGACCTAGAAAATATGAGACGTCTCGGTGCTTATGTGTCATTTGAAGATGAGTGCACTTTACTGAAAATTGTGCAGAGGCGTTATATATGTGTAAAAAAAGGATAGTAAGAAGTGTTGAAGATAAGTGGAGAAGTGTATGGCGTTATTTTTGTAGGTAAAGTTAAAATGGCCTCCGGAGTACAATCTGCTTATTGGACGAGGAGTGAAGAGGATTCGTCCAGGAATGCCGAGGAACCCATGGAGAGTCGTGCAGAACCAACGGAATTGGACAGTAATCCGTCAACGGCTTACTGTGCGACACCTCGTCGTCTTAGCAGTTCTTCAGTGGAGAGTGCTAAGGTTCCTGATGAAGATGACAAAAAGACTCTGGCAGCGGCGGACTCCACCATGAGGTTAAGAACTGGTCGTATACCGAGGAAAAAGAGATCAGTCGGTTCTATGGAGGATCTGTGGGACGAGTCTGTTTTCGAAGATCCTACGAGAACGGCCAGGACCACTCCTGTTATAAAGATATCGTTCGGGGCCCAGGGCGAAGGTACTGTTCTGAAGATACCTTCCAAGCTTCAAAATCCGTATGACCAAGAAGGTGATACGGATACCGAGGACACGCAGGCGGAAATGGAGACAGATCCTTTGGAACTTCCTAAAAGTTTAGAGAATGATTATGAGTATCAGGAAGATGGAGAGAATGGCCAGGAACAGGTGGATCCACAGAAACAGGGCGTGAAGGATGCAAGTGCAAAAGCTGCTAAACGTGCCTTGAAGAAGGCAAAAAAAGAAGCAAGAAGGAAAATGTTGGGAGGCGTGTCACCTGCAAGATCACCCTGTAACGGCTCACCCAGGTAAGATAATCCAAATTTCTTGGCTATCGTACAGTTCAGCGATATATTGGGACCAATATGCAGCTGAAGAAGCTTGCTTTTGCTAGGTACAATCCAACTTTCGACCCTTTGTCCTATCATCGTCGTAAACACAAAGTCAAGCACAAGAAGAAGCACAAGGAGGAACGCAAGCACAAGAATCAGCAGCAACCACAGGAACCAGGCGAAGAAGCAACGGCAACGGATGCGCCACAGCAGCAACAAAACTGGGACGTGTTACCAGGTGGAGACTCTTCGTACACGGCCATCAAAGAACAGTGCCTCAAACAGAAATTATCCATATCCCTCAAAAGGCTAAATACTAATGCATATGCACGATGCGACTATCCCGTGAGCAATGCTTCTTCCGGATGTAAAAGTCCTGGTGCAAGTAGCGACGAACTAAGCGAACAAGAACCAGAAGTAGATGCCGGTGAGACCGCTCCAGACTTTCCACCTCCTGCACACCCACTAGTAATGCGCTTGGCAGCAACCCCTGTCGCGCACTGCCTCACCGCCAGTGGTAGAAGAATGGACGTTGGAGATGTCGTATGGGGTAAAATTCACGGTTTCCCCTGGTGGCCTGGAAAGGTACAGACTTCATTCATTTGAATTATCATTGATCCTCTGTCCATCATCATCATATCAATACTATATTTTTCCATCAGGTGCTGAGTATTACTGTATCCTGTAAAGAAGATGGATCGTCATCAGGACCACAAGCGCATGTAGCGTGGTATGGTTCCTCGACGAGTTCTCTCATGTCATGTGATCAGCTCAGTCCATTCCTCGAAACATTCAAAGTACGTTCATCAGGCTTATACTGTACTATTAATTTTCATTGTAAGATCAATCCATTTTATTTGTATTTTTGAAAATTCTACAGACACGATATAACAAGAAAAAGAGGGGTCCGTACAAAGAGGCCATTCGGCAGGCTCAAAGTGAAGCACGGAGTCAAATCACACCGAGTACGACGGAGAGTGTTTTAAATGTATGTGGATCGCCGCGAGAGGTTAACGTTCTTTCGTAAGAGTGCTCTCCGAAGCCTTTCCTTTACTGCCGGCCACTCGTTAATCAGAAGAACGGCGGGTCGGAATTGTAATGTAAAATACATTTTGTACATAATAACTAGCACTAATGGTATTAATTATTGGTCGATGTTCTGTGCAAGCCGCGTTATCGTCAAAAAAAGTACGGTTTAATAATACACGTACTGTAAGAGATTCGCGTTTGCTTTGTCGCACATGGAAATAACACAAATAAGCGTCAAGGCAGAGTAATGTAAGGAAGAAGTGACGGGCTACAAACAGTTATTGAAATATCTTTAGGATTCAAATTTTCAGAAGAGATAGAAACGTCCGATAGCTCATCTTTATTTGAATCCTGTTCATTGAAGTCAACATTGTTGTTGACGCTTACGTGATAAGAAATCGACATGTTTAACGGCTGTTCCTCTATGTTTATATTTTATTACGGCCGGACCAAAGTTCTTTGTTTCTTATGTTCACTTTCCATAAGTAATAACTTATACATATTAGCCTGAATTTTTTCAATTGCATTGTTACACTTTGATTTTGTGCTATTCTGTTAAATTAGCTTTTTATTATATTTGTTCTGTTTTCTATTATCGTCGTATCGATCACGGTCGTTGTAATAGTTTTTCTTGAGATGTACCGATCTCGTGTTTTTACGCTTCGTGCCAAGTCACTGCCGTATAAAAATAGAGTCATGCGATCATAATGATTCATCGTTAATTAGTAATTAAATGAATCACAGTTCACCTTCATGATCGATCGATATTGGCTCCGTGGATTTGACTTCCTTGACGAGGTGCACTCGCGCTCCTCGTCACGTTTTCATCCCGATTACGAGATTCTCACCACTGGTTTCAGAACGTGCCGCGTTTTATCGCAATTGCACAATTCAAGACTAATGCAGTTTCATGAAGAGATTCCTCGAGATTTTTTTACTTTTCTTGGTAAAAGTCTCGCTGCGACTTCTTAACGTGCCGTTACTTTATCGCTGCTTATTATCGATCTCCAAGCCAAGCCTTAATCCGGCCTGTAATCGTACTACCTTCTTATCAATAAGTAGTCAGTTCTATCACGGATTCACTCGGGTAGTCGTCCCGGTATGCAATCCTTTGTGGACAAATAAAATATGTGTGTATATATATGAAGTAAAATGTTCAAAATTCTATCAAGAAATTATGTTCGCGTGTGTAAAAAATATCAGTGTTATTCTGAGAATACAAGGTAACGGCATGTCAAAAAGTTGTATATGGTACAGTTAAGCAAGTTAGAAAATGAAAAAAAAGAAGAAATCTAATAATTCTTATATAGTATATATATATAACATTGTAAGAGTATAAGACGCATAGATTTTCTCGTGTAACGAGAACATTTAGCGCAGTCGACCCGGCCGTTTCGTAATGAATGGCGAAACAGACAAATCTACATAAATAAATTAAGAGCTGCAAGGTATCTCTCGACAGTCAAGCCAGTCTGTGAGAGAAGCCTCAAGTGCATATGTACCTACGTACATACGATACGCTTAAAAAAATTGCGAGAAAACGTGAGACGTCTAAGTTCTGTGTATGCGTGTGAATTGAGGACAGTGTTTCGTTCGTCATGTATGAAAGCGATATAGGGAATAATGATGTACTAGTTATGATTGCGTCATTGTATGATTTATTTCTCATAAAAAATGTGAAGAAAAAGTATATAGAGTGGTAAACGTGCACGTAGCATTCCCAGCATATATCTATGTATTAAATGACTTGCGACATTGGTCGACAGGGACGAGTCAGTCATCACAAAAATGATCAGAATTTTTCATGAAAACAGGTTTAAGGATGAAAGTTCCGAACGTTTTAGATTCGAATTTGAATATTGCGATTGTTCGATTTATCAAGAGCCATTGAATTTCGAATTTTCTTCTTTTTCTTTTTATTACAGAAAATTCAAACACTGGCTCTCGTGCTTTTAGCGAATTTCGTTGTCAGAGTAATGATCGAGACGTTTGGTTAAACCGTAAATGTTTTAATTTTTCAAATGATATTTCGGATGCAACTTTCTTATGCGAGCGTTATTATTATTATGATTATTGCTATTTTATTATTATTAATATTATTATTATCAATACGGTGTACTCGTCGTTGATGAAACTTTTTAAGTAACTGTGATTTTTCTCAAATGTTATATATATACATATATGTATGTTATGTATATGTATATACGCAATATATATACATACATATACTATACATATATTAATGATTTCTACGCATAATATAAAACATGTTTAAATGTCGCTGTGTTTATACGAATTGTAGCTTTTCTAGAATAGCATATCTATAGGTTTAAATAACGTGCGAATCCTCGCCAGTTCGTTAAGGATTTTTAATTGTTGTTTAGGATATAATGGATTGTGTATGAATGACGTATCGACGCATATGACTATGCAGGGCAGGTTATCCTGTTCTAATGTGAGGTTTCTTTTCTTTTCCATTATATTCGATAGAATTTCATGGGCTGTTCCTAAATACCGTCGACTTGGAACGTTGCGTTAGCTGTGGATCGACGAAATTTCCGCCCGTGAAGTGTCAGATGAGAATTCGCCCAACAAAAAAAGTCAGTCATACTTTAATCTCTCGTTTCAACTTTGAACGAAGAAAAAATAAAGGTGCGTTCTCACGACAAAGTGTTCATGTTTTAAAAATTACACGGTGTGTGAGTGTGTGTACTAACGTACGCGCACCCGAGTTGTACCTCGATATGAGGAAGAGGAAAGAAAAAGAAAACTGAAAAACAGATACAAATTTATGACCGTCTTGTAATGAATGTTGTAAGATCGTGTAGCAAGGATTTATTCAAGTCCATATGCTAGTATATATACGTGTGTAACGTGTATTTTTTATACTTTGCTGTTAATTCTCCTGGTACTTGTTTATGGTGGACGCATTCGTACCTTGGAATCGTACATTATCGAATTCCTGACTGTATATAGGTTTATCAAATTCGTTTTTATTTTTTTGACTGGTTGGGAAAAGTCGTTTAAAAGTCTTGATCAAAGACGGTACGAATTGGATAGGTACGAGCATCATCGAACAGTACACTGTCTTCCATTTAGAATGATTTTTTTAAAAATCCACCTGAAAATTATAATTGCCTATGGTACATTGCACGCACTGTACATTTCACTTCGTGCGTGTATAGTTGACAAAGATGATGGTTGATTTACACATCGATACACTGGGTACGATAAAGTTCTTATTTAGTACGTATAAATAGAGTACGGCGAGAATCGTGCCGAGATGTAGCAGGAAAAAGAGTGCGATGGAGTAAGGGGAAAAAAATGTAAGAAAAATGAAAAAAGTGAGCCTTACAACATTTCGATTTGTAAAAATTATAAAATATACTTTTCTTCATAACTTCAGCGAGGGTAACTATTTGCATAGTAATTATCAGTCCTTCCCATCCAGTATAAAATTATCTTCGCAAGTGACGTACTCTGATAATTCCATAAACCCTACTTCATTCGCATACCCAGTTTTCATTGTGTCCATATCGCGCTGACAAAATTCAGTTGCTCGGCGGGTCCCTCGATCACCTCGTTTCGCGCAATTCGCGTGGGCGGGTTTACAGGGAAGGATGCGCGAGCCCGCGACGCCTTATCCTGATAACCATTATCAACCCCTGGAAGACAGTATAGACCGAATCACGTAAACAAAGGAAAGCCTACTAGCGGTATTGAAATTCGTGGCCGTGAATATCCGCAAGATGTACGGAGGTGGAGTGCGGGGTGGCTGAAGTAAGTGTCTCGAGAATGTTGTCAGCAAGGTTGTTAAGAGTCCTCCAGGGTGTCGATCGATGAGATTCATGTGAGAGGTCGGCTTCGAAGAGAACCAACCCTTAGCGTGGGTTTTTATATATCTAACGTGGAGAAGCCAAGGGCCATTGTGCTGCAGAGAGATATAGCAGCGAAAGAGATAGGAATAGAGATAGAGGCTGAGAGAGAGAGAGAGAGAGAGAAACTGTGAAAACGTCTACATGGATGTAGTAGACACAATGTAGGTCATGGGGAGACACTTGAACCATCCTCTAACAGTGAACATGAACGTTGTGCCGTCGTCGTGACGCGTCGACACGTCGCGACGCTCACAGAAAAACCGAATTTTCGGTGAAAACTCTACATCCCCAACGTTGGCTTCTGCGCATACACGACAGGTTCGATCCTACACTGCGCAAAGTGAAGTGTAGAGCTTTCGAAGCCACCCTTAGTCAGTCCGATGTAGAGGGTAGCTGTGCTTACTACAGAGACTGCTGACAGTGCTGGAAAGATCCTCCGCGTTAGTATCCCGTGCTGGTCGCGAGAGATGGGTCGTATTTCCTTAACGTGGGGTAGGATATACATATTATTTTGGTGTGTCAGTGATTTCGACTAGAGGGTTGGTCTTTATTGGCCTCTATCCGCGTTTGACGAGTGGGGGGGTTGGCACTGATTGTATAGAAGGCACTTGTGCGGTCCAATTTGTCCATGTGCTTTGGGAATATTGCACTTGATTTTAATTGGCTATTACTGCTCAATTATCTGATTCTGTATACTATATAGATATATATTAACGTGTATTGTGATCGGTGGTATAACGTGCTTGAAATATGTTTGTCACGAAGGGAAAATAAGGAGGAGGCAATTAAATAAAGACTGCATGACCTCATATGTTATGGTTTACAGATAATAATGATACACATGCTGTCCGAGGACGCTCACAGATACGTCCAAATAAAGCGCAAGAGCGTAGCATTTCTCACGAGTTTTTTTAAAACGAAAAAATTGCCTTCAGGCATGAAGATCGAGGACGAGGAAATGGAACGTGCGCCGAGAATCGAGACTCCTGGTAAACATGCAAATTATTCTGTTTTCGTTTTTTCTTGGTTATGCTTTGACTTGGGAATAATACAGATTGGTATTATTCATGTTTAGCCGTAATTTCGACATCGTGTCATCGGAGTGGTGAGCACGACAGTGTCGTAACGAGGATACCGTCGACCCTGAGTGTAGCTGCTGTGGATGTCGTTGTAGCGTGCCAGCCATCACCATCGCACTCCATCCTTACATTGACACCGGGAAGGACTAGGAATATAGATCAGGATATGGAAGCTCTGAGGCTGAGTCGCCAAGACAATCCATTTTTACAGGTTTGCTTCAAATTGAGGTTATGATCGTTGCGGTCATCTTTATATATTATATTTAAATATTCTGGTACAAGTTCATGATGCTCCTCTAGGTCTTGGCCAGCAGGGAGAGTCTAGTGGAATCCATTGAGGAGTCTGAATCCGACGATGCCATCCTAATGTCTCAGGTATATCAATTTCGTCAAGTTCAATTGTTCCTTGTATACCATCGAGAAAGTCACCCACTGAGCGTCTAACTTTATTGATGAATCAGGAGCTGGGAGACGCGGATCCGCTGACCCTGGCCCAAGTACACGAACACCTAGTTCGTAGTCCACCGCCGGCGTCATGGCCACACACACCAGTCTTTCATTTCCCGCATCAGAACAATTTGGGAAAGTCAGATGCCAGTCCGCATTTCACTCATTATCACAAGAGCCCATCAAAAGCGCCCATTCATCGCGGCATGGAGAAAGAATTATCTAAAAGTGAACCATCCAATGACATAAGAGGTACGCATTCAGTAAATAGTAATTAATGAAACTCTATAGCTAAAACGAGTCTAATGAATATTCGTATGATAGGTAATATCAGTTAATCCTTGAAAATTCCAAGTCATTTAGTAAACATACTTCAGACCTCGACCTTGCCTGATGAACTGCCGTTTATTTTTGTACCTTAAACTCATTCTATTTTAATTACTTTAATCAAATTCACCAGACGCGGGAGTGGCGTGTACGATAATATCGCACTGTATATACACACATAGAAGACGCTTCTTCTGCTATAACGAAATACCAACCGTAGACCCTATATTGTTCTAAGGTTATATTAAGCATTAATCAATAAATCGATCCTTATAATTTGTATGGTTCTACAGACAGATATATACGGACGTGCGTATAAATGATAAACGCTGTATATAATATTATACGTACCATTCTCATGAATAGACCAAGCTACAACATTCTTCCGTCCCTTGCGTGTATATTTAATAAACCATTTCCATCATACTAAGAGGTTCACAAGAAAAAACATATATAAATAGGCAAACACATGTTAATTCATACTTTCACGAAGAGTAGGTTTATAATGATTATTAAAAAATGTTTTTTTTTTTCAGATAGACACTCCCATCCGTTTTCATTATTGAATCCAACGCCAATGAGATCTCTTTCTGAAGTTCGACGTCTGCACAGATCAGCCGATGACAATGTGCAGCTGATGTCGTCAGAGTAAACCTGATTCGCAATCCGCGATGAAATGCGGATTGTGACAGCAATTAGCGTTCGAATGAACCGTGAAACGTTCGCCTATATGATTCGTATTGGATTTCTTCATGACGATTTGCGTGCCCGGGTACAGCGTGCAGTTATGTAAAGGATGTTCAGGTACATCGTTAGAAGATTCAGAATTATTAGAAGTTAATGAAGGTTTGTTTGTTTATTAATTAAAAGCAAACCTCGATACGCCCATATTATACAGTATACACGATCAGAACGTACAGTGAGATCAGAATAATTTTACTCTTTGAAAAATAGAGATTGATAAATCATAGGCTGATCGAACCCATCCGCTAGTCTTAATGAGGCTCGAAAATAGAAAAATTAAATGAGATATAAATAACGGAGCCTACTAGAGGGCAGCAAGTGTTATGATAATTAGGCGCTAACAACGATCGTTTATGAGAAGAAAATATACTGTAATTAATATTGCACAGTATCGTATATAATGTTACTACAAGATCTAAATGACTTACGATCTAGAAATCGAAAAGCGGCGATCGGTAATACGTGGAGATCAGGACGTCAAGCGGATGTCGCCATGATTTTTGCGATTAGCTGGGCCTAGTTTAATTTTTGCAAGCCGACTAGCTGCGTGTTACGAGCGTTCTCTAATAAGTAATATCGTAATGATATACCAGTGGGTTAAACGTCAAACTCATAGAAGCTAATCGACTTTATACTGTCTATACCAATATTTGTCCTAGTGCTTACGCGTAATCGCGTACTTGGATCCGACTGTGAATATTACGCCTGAGTATATTGTACACGTAGTACAGGATATGTAATATGCATAGGAACCCACCTTAAATTAATACTGCGCTTATAGGTATTAATGTACAGGGACTGGGATGATGAGTTAATATACACAGAGAATCACTACGTGTATCAAATGCGAGAGCCTTATAATTGCCTAGAGTTTTTTTGCGTGGTTAATACATTAATGAGACAAATTAATGAGACAAAAGAACTTTGCGAATTCGTACTACAGTCGCTTGGTCATAGATGGGCGATACTGTTCCACGTGTTTATTTGCAAGTTGAGATAGCATTATCGCATTCGATAACAGAACATGGTCTACGTTGTAAATCAAAGAGAAGAAACTGGCGCCTAGTTCAAGCGACGTATTCTTTCGGTGTACTAAATCTTTCTGTATTTCACTTACGAATTTATCCATGGGAATGTACTGTGCTTCTTATTTGGACTTGGCGCATATACAGCGTACTGTTTCGTCGCGTCTAGTCGATAATAGAGACTGCGTTTAATTTGCCAATGATAACTTTCAGTAGACTTTTTAAACCGCGATTGTCGGTTGGTGAAAATTGTCGTGCGACGTTCGACATCTGTTGCGCTTAGAGCGGTTTATTATGAGAAATTATAATGATGTAATTGATAATGATAAAATGAATTTCATAAAAAGACTTTTAGCCGTGTACGCGTGCGGCTCTGAAAATGCAAGTATTGCATGAAGAATTTGTAATGCGTTATGATATAGGTAATTCATGAAAATTGACACGAATAATTAATCTGATAGGAAAGTGTGTTGAGATTTTGCGCATTTACAATATGTCGAGATCTTTTAATATGAAAGTGGAGGTTTTACGAATTATACAAAAAAAAATTCCCTTTGCGTATCGATTGTAATTTTAATCTTGTTCGAATTTCTCTATCGCAATTAAATTGTTAAACAACGGATACGATTCGTTCCCTCGTGTCTCTTATCGCCTTGGACTTTGCGATCATAGGATCATTGCTTGGGATTGATTGATTGAACTAACAAATCAGGATCGTATCGTTTTGTAAATATGATTGCGATCATTTATCCTTCTCTCAATTTCAGACTCTCTCTCTTTGATTATTCTTGTCATGAGATGAAAGGAGATGCTGGGAAAAGTTATGGCATACCATGTAGCAGGGTTTATACAAATATTAAAAAATAGGGACTAAGGAAAAGGGAACTTAGAAGATTACAAATTAGAGTCCAATTGACTTGGCCAATGAGAATTGAGATTAATTATTATATATTATATTGTATATTCGCGTACGTTAGAGTGTAAAAGAATGTTTCAAGCGTTCGTGTGGGAGTGAAAGAATTAATGGAATTAAGGGGAGAGATATTAAATGCAGAAAAAGTGGGAGAAAAGAGTAGAAATGTTTGAGAATAATTTATTAAAAATCAAGATGGGAAACAAAGTGGAATAATTACAGTAGAAAGAATTATTTTATTCTAGTCAAGTTTCTCATGACAAATTGTATTAATTCATTTGTATGCTACTACCTTAATGTCGACATAAACTGACTTAATGTCAACTAAATCGTAATAGCTATAGAACACCGCATGGTTCTCAACAGGACAAGATATCTTTCTTCTCCTTGTTGCAATTAACGTAAACGAAAAAGATGGCCTATTTACTTCTACATCACGTTATCTTGTCTGCGCTCGGCCAAGCGGGATGCACAAATTGTATTTGAAACTGAAAATCTATAAATCAACATGGTGCTCCGAAAAAGTGTGCACATTCTAGATGGATAACAGGCTGAATACTATTTCACGTATAATATCGAACGTATTTGTTAATAGTAAACGTAATTCGATTTCAACTACTGTATCGTCTATTACATGAAAATAACTTCGGACTCTCGTATACATAACATACCTTACGATCTATTTTCCGGTTGTACGTATGTCACATTTAACGCATTCACGTTCGTTAAATATGTATATTGTTTTTCATTAAACGAAAAGTTACAAATGAAAAAAGAAATATATTTGTGTTACTGTAAATCGTCGTAATACATGTTTATTCGCCTGCTTCCCGTCATTTCTCCGCGAGGCAGAAAATTTATCAGAATTTTCTCTCTCTTAATTATATATTGTTTTTGCTTTTTTTTTTATTATTTTATTCTTTGACCTTTTACTTCAAGCCGCATCTCGTTAGTGGGTACTTTTCAACTTTTTACCAAGTTATAATTAAACTACGAAGCGTTGACGTGTATTGCGAAGGAATCGAACGAATCGTCCAGAATTTTTATTATTTTTTGTTCCCTCTAGTAATATACACGCTTGAGTAATCAGATAAAACGGGGTAGAGCAGCGAGGTAGAAGAGTTTCTCTGTTTCTCATTTATAACTTTCGAGAGGTTGAACAAGGTGATTTCCTCGTCGAAAAGAATGGTTCTGATGGTTTGAAACTTTTATAAAAGTTCTTTAATTTTTATGAATTTCCTCACAACCATTGCAAGTGTATTTACATTTTTCCATTCTTTAATCCATCGCAGAGAAAAGATACTTTCACGCAATTATATCCATCGATACTGTAAAGTTATGTTTTATACACTGTAACGTAATTTCTAACTTATGACCCGACACCGATTGCAAAACATACGAGAACGAACTATCTTCGAGAACCAACCTGCGTTACCTTCGGCCGTCCACCCGTCCTTCGTGCATCCGCAAGCCAGGCGGCCGCCAGCCGATTCTTTTTTCACCGGGAACTGACGAGCCGGTATGAACTGGGAGTTGGGGTGGAACAGGCCCAACTGCACCGCGAACGAGAGCTCTGACGGAACCTATCGGACGAGGCTGTAGCTTAACGGGTCCTGTCGATCTTTGGGGTCGCGTGAAATCAGCAAACGCACCTGGATGCACGAACGGGAGCGGACGGCTACGGAAATGCACGGCCGCTCAGGCTGCTAGGTTTGAGCTAGAGAGGGTCGGAGTAAGAGTCCGGCAAATAGTGCGAGAGACAGAGAGCGGCGAACCGAGAACGTAGCAGAACGAATCTTAACTATCCACCGAGATCCCTTCACCAATTAATAAATTGGGAGACTCACCGGAGCTGGTGCAGCTAATCCGTGGAGGCCGAGAACCGCATCCAAAGGACACTCTGGTGGACACTGCACTGAGGCACAGCACTACACCTCCGGAACACTCACAGGAATCCATAGAATTGCCTGGATACCGCGAGAACAACGCGGGAACTGTACGAACCGAGAACTTGCTATACCGTAGCGAAGCACGGCAAGAAAAACTATCAACAGATAGCACGGGAGCGCGATGTCCCTCGTGACACCTCGGTCGGTGCCCCGAGACAGACTGCTTTGACAATAGCCAAATGCCAAATGCCAAATGCCAAATTCGGGAACTAATCATTCTGATTGGTCGAGAGCCTTTTAACCGATAACTCTTCTATCTCCTTCGAGTCGTCCCTTTAAACCAAATCGAGAGCGTTCCTTAACGAATCGGTACGTAACTCCTGGAGATCCTACACGGCCGCTTCCCCAGGACATCGGGCGACAGCTGGGCACCACGTCCTTAACTCGGGCAGGAGGTCAAACGTCCGCATATTCATGATCCTCCGGATATCCTAGGGGACTGGACATGGTTAGGTGTTTTATGGGATTCTTCTTTATGGGATTAGTAATTTATCACGTACAAACTCCAAGTTGAGTTACAAGTCGGTAAGCATCCAGAGAGTGAATTTTCGTAGACTACGAATCTGGGAGGAGTACCCGTATGTATTGGACGCGCTATTTTCTATCAGATTAGTCCCACCATCCAGCTAAAGTGTTATTATGCTGATTCTAATTTAATGTATATTCCGTAATTGAACCACGATGGGGTTATTAAATTCAGTCCAATGACATCGACTGATTTTGTTAACGGTCGAAATCAGTCGATGCAATTGACTAAAATTTAATAAACGCAATCGTGGTTCAGTTATGGAATATACACTAATTTATATTCAGAACTCTATATAAATTTATTTATGTATTATATGTAATTGGAATCTAAAAAAAATATGTACAATCAAACTTATATCATTTTTTAAGGACATCCTGTCGGTCCTGAGGATATCCTTCTTGAGGTTTTTCCCCCCTAGTCCCTTGCGCAATAGCTGCAGGATTCGGAGGTTTTCCTAAATCAAAAAAATAAGGCCACTTGCTGGGCCTCGGAGGGACCGAAGCTCCCTTGTGAAGACCATGGTCATAGCGTATCCTAGGGGGGCTCGAGGCCTCCATCGGGCGATCCATAATGTCCTGGTGCGGCCACAACTTGGGCTCGACCCACTGAGCAAGCTCAGCGGATGAGGCGGAAGGGCAATCCCCGACACCATGATCTATACCTGTAGCTATCCTAAAAGGGTGACTACCCTCATATGACTACTCGAATGAATACGCTCGACCCGGTAAAAGGAATAGGACAGACAAGATAAGCACAATGAAAAGTGAGAGGGAACTGAGTGAAACGAGACGACAGAAGGGAAGATAGAAATAAAGAAATTAAGAAGTAGAAATGTAAGGAATAGGGATATAAAAGTAGAGAAGAAATGAGGAAAGAGATAAATCACAAAGTAAATAATGAAAGATAAAGAAATAAGGGAGTAAAGAAGAATAAAATATAGAAAAGAAAGAAGGTTTGAAAATGAATAAGTGGGATGCTTCCAAGAGATCGGTACAGGAGACCGGCTCGTGGAAGAATGAGTGCTCCGAATCCGAGCACTGCCTTTTGCCGAGGCCACATTTAATTTATTAATATTTAAATTTGAGCGTAATTTATTTTCGACGTTTTACAATTTCATTTCAATTTTTATCCACGCCGCCTATTTTGCGAGGTTTTGATTTAGCCTTAATTTCATATTTTGAATAAATTTGAAAAGTAACTCAAGATCCAATAATATTTAGTAACATTTGGAAAGCTTTATTCAATGTTTCGAGTTTTCAATATTTCCGTGCAACTAAAATTTTTCCATTATCTTCTCGTGGGTTATCCAGCTATTCGTGAATCCCAAAGGTTTCAATATTTGTTCTACTAGTAGCGGTAGAGATGAGTAGGGAAGATTACTAATGAGCTAATTTTCATGGTCCAAGTTTTATTTTAACCTCGACGCGCCACCTGACGGGTGGACGTTTCTACATTACTGACGTATACACATTTTTCCAATATGTCCGTGCTCGCAGCGTGGCCTGATTAAAGAAAAAAGTAATAGTACCCGACAGCGAACCTAGTACTTCATGGTTGCGTAGGCCTTCGGTGTCCCATGTGTCCACAACCCTACGTGATTTGTTAATCCTGTATAAAACCCGTGCCTATAGACCGTAGTAACTGGCTACATAAATGGCTAATATGGCGAAGTCTTTATTTTCGACTATTGTCATATTGCTTAAAAATTCCGCCATATCAGGCATTTATGCAGGCAGTTAGTAAGTTTACACGCACGGGTTTTAGAAAGGATTGACCAATTACGTTGGGCTATTCTTTTTAAACCTTACACGCGATTGGTTAATTCTGTGTAAAACCCGTGCGTGTCAACTCACTCATTGTCAGTGTCAGCATATGTAAGTATATTCAGACAGAGTTTGCCAGCATGAAAAAGTTCAAATGTACACAGTTGGAAATCAATTATCACTACCCAGCTTCTGTACGAATGCATGCATCTTCTTGCATCCGAATAACTATCTAGCATTCAATACTCAGCGCCCTCGGCTCATCTTCGAACGCACCTGTCAAAGACGCTTTAATAAAATAAAAAACAAATTGTGGAGCAAATTGAGAGCAATTAGGCCGAGACCAGGAGAGCGTACGGGTGCTAAAGCTGCGAAGACTATAACCAGGAAAATGTAGACTACTTCAAAGTCTATGCCGATTAATTGAATATGTAGACCTCAAACTTGTAATTAAAAAAAATAGCATTCCAATACGCTTTAGTCGCCGCGCACGGGTTTGCGTCTGACTAAACGCATCCCTCGTAACAATTTCGAATCGCACGTGCGGCGTGAGGCTGCTGCACAAAGTTAAGGCATTCCGCCAGTATCGGAAATCTGTCAAAAAATTGTCCCTACATCGTTTAAAATGGCAAGGATAATTTTTTATCGACGATAATTTTTTAATATTCGACGACTGTCGTCAGATTTTCAAAATTCTGCTTCATTTCACCGCAAACCGCAAACGTGCATTTTAACTGATACATTCAGTACGTCTATCCCGCTCGGAAGTTCGTTGGATAAAGGACTGAAAATCGACTACGCGCGGTAAAATTTCGGTAATCATACTATGTAGCCGGTTGGTCAATCACCACTATGGCCGGCATTAGAAATTAGCGGCTAATTCAAATTATATGGGATACTTGGGTACCAGGTTACAATACATTCTTACAATGCAAGTAACAAATATCCCAATTACAAATTAACCTCAACTGCTGTTTTGGACGTGATCTTTTAAGTAGTGAAATTCTTTTTCATCTGTAAAATATTGCAAGTCTCATAGGTATCCATAGTTGTTCCTTCTATGATTTTCTCGATTCTCGCTCCTAATTTTAGAAAAAGATTTTTTAAGTTGATACAATACTACACGCTATAACGTACCTGGGGACGATGTGATATTGGGGAGGTGTTAAGACGTAATAATTAGACGCAAGATGTTGCTTAATAATACACAAATTTTATTTTTTCGTAGATTCGAAGAAATTATTGAAAACAGAACGGTCGCAATATGAATAGTTACAAGTAATATGTACAATAATCATTTTTTGTTGTCAGTTTATTCTTACCTCGTTTGTTAATAATAATAATAGTTAAAAATTAATAATAATCATAGTGATCTGTACGCGGAATAATAATAATTCATAATTTATAAATGATAATAGTCGCAATAATCATACTCATAATCAATGTAACTGTGTAATGATAATTCATAATAATTCATAATTAATCAATTTATGCTTTAATAATAATAAGTGTAATAATTAATCAATAACGACGATCAATCGTATCAATATTTCGTACAGTCACTTTGCGATGGAGGATCGACGGTTGGCACCCGACCGACCGAAAATCATTGACATATATAGAAGAAAGTACCATTTTTTTCTTTCATCTTTCTTTCTCTTTTTTTTTTTTTATAATTTAATTCGCTCTCATTGCATTTCGTGTCTTACTGCTAAGGGCGAACCGGCGAAAAAAGGGACTCGTGATTCTTTCGATATCCGGTCAGTCGCTCATCACTTCCGTTATCTTAGGCGCACATCCCATATTATTAACACACGTAAAACGGTCCGCCGTCAACTCTCGCACGGTAAATGTTACATAATAATATTATATTCACTTGCTTTTTTTTTTTTTGTTGCATCTCCTTAAATCATAGTTGCAACGTTATTATTACAAACGTGAAACTGGTACTTTTTTTTTTTTTGTTAATTCATTTTTTTCCCCACTAAGCATTCTCTACTATTGATTAGATGCTCTTAGTGCCGGAGCCACGTGGATGTTTCAGCGGCTCCTTTATTATATATATATTTTTTTTTAAATTTCATTTTCATCACCAATAGTACGCATTTTCGGACTCGCGTCCCGACGCGAAGCTCCGCAGGAACATTGTCCGCCGTCGCGGAAGTCATTGTTGGCTGACGCAAAAGAAAAGAAAGAAAAGTCAATAATAAAAAGAAGGGATAAAAATAGGATAAGCATTGGCCACGTGGCACGGACACAACCACTGAGAAAAGGACCGCTCTTTTGCTCTGAAGGAGTGTCAACGTGTGATTTCCGTTGACCAACCACGGAAAGGTGGTATCAGTTACTTCCGGTGGACGCAGGGAAGTAGTAAAATAAAAAAGAGACGTAACCAAGAAAAAGAAAGGCACGATGAATATGCGAAAATAAACGTTATGTCCAGCGTGCGAAATGATTTACGCGATTCCGACGGCGACGCTCTGTGGGCGGTTTGTGACGCTTTACAACGAACGTAGGAATTTTGTGATGCGTCGGGTCGCGAGAGAATCTTATTTCTCATGAATCCCACCGACCAAAAAGAGACGCGAACGCTTGTTTTCTTTTGTCGAACACACTCGACATCCCTTACGTACGCTCGTTCGTGTTTCTTCGCGTCGTTACACACCTTTTACTTTTTTTTTGTTTCTTTTTCATTTTCGTCGTACAATTTTTTTTTTCATTTAATATTCGTTTATAGTACTCATCTAAACAATTAAAGCAGCAAAAATGTTTCGAGGAAAAATTGTTTTTTTTTTTCTTTTTTTTAAACGGTGACAAAAATAATAATACCCACAATACCTCTCGTGTGTCCCATTGGGTACATATTAATATATACATATATAATTGTATTATATATATTTATATATATATCGTGATTTTTTTTTTCGAGCCATTCGGTGAATCCGGTCGCGCGTCGTGTATCAGATAACAATTAGTCCCGGAAATATGTCAAATCGGATACTGCGCGCGCATTCCGAAGATCGGTTTGAGCGAATGAGCGCGTGACGTCAGAGACGTCATAAAATTTCAACTGGACAAGAACAGCTCAGACCGGAGAAAGGTAGAAAGAGAATTTTGACAAATTTTATGTATATCGAATAAAGGGTATCGGTGGAATTATTCGAAATACTTTTTCGGATCGATTCGCAAGCGAGCGACAGAAGACACGAGACGCGCGACCTAAGGTCAATCGCACCGAACAAGCGCGATCCTCTTTCTTCTTCTTGAACTGTGTGTGATTTGCATCAACTAAGTTTTCATCCATTGTTACTTTATTATTATTATTATTATTATTCATTTTCATTATCCCTTAATCCTTATTACAAGTACAGTAGTAGTAGTAGATTTTCATATTTTTTTTTTAAATGTTTTTATATTTAAGATTTTTTTTATCTTTTAGTTCTGGTTCTGATAATCTAATAGACATCTAAAAATAACACCCATTTTTTTTTCATTATTATTTCATATTTGTATTTCTTAGTTTTCTGTTAATCAATCAAGTATTACTTAAGAATCCTTAAACTTTAGACTTGGGCCACGTCGCGCGCGAAGGAGACCCGTGTGTGCTGGCCTTTGTGAAAATTGCGATGTCGCCAGTTACGGCCAAATGAGCTAAGCGCACCAATCTTGGGGAAAAAAATGTATGACGCGGGATTACTCCAAAAGAAAAGATCAATCACGAATTAGATCTTCTCGCAAATTTGTCCACTTGGTACCTGCCAATTATTCACAATCATTTATCGTTATTCTAATTCCTCAATCATCCTCTAGCAATGATGCCCTCTGCGCATGTTGCTTCTGCGCATTTAAAAAAAAAGGGGTACATTCATATAAATACATATATTACATTTTATACATATGCTCAGACATATATATATATATATATATATATACATATATATAATTGTACCTCTTTTAGGCATAAACTCTTAAACGATATAGAGAGGTACGCTTCGCGAAAAAGGTGATTCTTGCTCCTTTAATTACATTTTATACATATGCTCAGACAT